CACCATGGCACTCTTGTTTCCCAAATTAAGTAGTTATACACTTGTAGTAACATGAAAATCTGAAATAACAAAGGCAACACAAAACCCATGCGCGAGATAATTTAGAAAAGTTCGTTGTTGACATTGACCCGATCGAATATCTAATCCTGGACCTCAAAGATGACGTCACTTAGAAACGGCGTGCGAGCCACTCCACGTTTTTTATACTAAAGTACATTTAAAATACTTTCCATCCCAAAGATCCCAAAGTGTGCATCTCATAGGAACAGCCTCTTGCAGTATAGCTGGAGTTGGATTTTGACTAATATTATGCACGATAAAAAATCTCTAGAAAATAAGTTTCTCTTCTAAAAAAGAAACCCTAATTACGAGTTTTATGTTGTGATTTAAACGACAATATCCAGTAATTACAAACCAAGCCTAATTATGGGTCTTTATTCTGCAAACAAAATCATTAATTCCACAGATGGCGCTGTGGCATAAACAGTGGCTCCGTATTTAATTTGTTGCAAAATATAAAAACCAGTGTATTTTTGTCTAATATTTATACATTTAGTTCGGAATATGTCGATTTACCTGTGATAGTGTTATCTACATCGAAGATCAAGTTTTTAGTGTGTTAATTAAAGATATCAACGGGTGAACTATATTTAAAAAATATCGACAAGGGAGTGAATATTAAAGTAATGCTCTTATCCAAAACATTTGTAAACTGTGCATAAAGTGATTGAGTGCGGAAGTGTCGACAACCAGGACCATTTGTCCTAGTTAGTGAAATATCTGTAAGGAGTCGGTTAATTTTATTTAAATGAAAGAGGTTGCTATGCCGTTTTGATTGGTCACGCATGGACTTAAGAGTGACTTTGTAATAATTGTACGAAAAGCGCCATCTCTTGATTGTGTCTCGCACTATATCTACGGCATTGAGTAAAGAAAATACTAATAGCTATTTTCGAGTTCGCTATCTAAAGTGCTTTGGCGCAACGGATAAGTCAGTACTGTGCTACCGCAGTTCGTGAGTTCGAACCACAGATTTGGAAATCTTTTTGCGATATTATTTGTTTCTAATAATAGTAAGACATGGATGTCTGTGTAGGATGTAACCACAGCATCAATGACAATAATTCTATGACGTGCTCAGTATGCAATAATGTTTACGATTTATTGTGTGCTGGTTTGAGCGCCGAAAAATATCTTGGACTTACACCTGACGTCTTGCGGTCATGGGTATGTGTCTCATGCCGAAGTAAAATACCTAAGTCTGGCAATTTATCTACTCCTATTCGACTTCTAATGAGTACAAGCGTGGCTAATGATACGATTTTCGAAGCTGTTGATAATTCTGTTTCGGAGTTTGAATTCGAAAATGTAACAACGAGGCGTAGACGAAGCTCTGATGATAAAAGGGTTAACAGTTGCATTTGTGGTGACAATTATTATCTCCTTAGGAAATTAATAAGAGAGGAATTACAGGAGGTGTTGAAAGAACCGTTACAGTTAATTTCTAACCTACACAAAGATTTGCAAAAGCAAACAATTATTATGCAGAATATGACATCTATGCAATCCTCTATTCTTGATGGAGACATACAGAGTAAAATACAAATACCCATACCAATACCGCAGTCTCCACTAACAACATCAAAAAAAGTATTCGAAAATACATTAATTGAGACCAAAACTAAAAGTAACAATCGAATAAAAAAGCATGACACTAAAAAGAAACCATCTTTACAGAATCGTATACCTTTTAGTCCGACCAACGGGTGTTTATCTAATGATCAAAGTGTGGATAAATTGGTATCAAATGTTCGTAATAAAGAGCCAGTGACTAATATTAATGCCATATCTGATCCTAGTGTCACCGAAATATCTCAAAACCAAAGTTATAGCTTGGATAGACAAGAATGGACGGAAGTCAAACGGAGGCGAGTTCGAACGCCAATACCGGGATTACTGCGTGGTACTGCTAATCCTGAAACCACTATACTACGGGCAGCAGAAAGAATGCGTTTTCTTCATCTCTATTATGTTCAAGTCGGGACTACAGAGGAACAGGTGCGTGCTCATTTAGCGACGCTATGTGAAGAGAATGTATGTTCCGTGGAAACACTAAAAGCTCGCGGCAATTACGCTTCTTTCAAGTTGGGAGTACCTATCAAGCTAGCTGACAAAATTATTTCCCCTACTAATTGGCCTAAAGACATTCTGTTAAAACCGTGGCGTCAGAACTTTCGTTCCAAACAAGAAAAAATATAAAAATTGTCAACAATCTAAAAAGTTAAATTGTTACTATCAGAACGTACGTGGGTTGCGCTCTAAAACCTCCATGTTTTATAACAATGTTTGTCAAAGTCAATATGATGTTATTGCTTTAACAGAAACGTTTTTAACAAGTTCCGTATGCGATGGTGAACTATTTCCCGCGGGTTACTTTGTAGTTCGTAAGGATCGTATAGGTGACAAAGGGTGGGGAGGTGTCCTGATAGCAATACGAGAATGCTATTCGGTTAATGTTATTAGTAATATCGATGACTTAACGGCGGACAAGGAGTTGTTATTTGCTGTCATAAAAAACAAATTTGTAAAGTTTTTATGTTGCTTAGTATATATACCACCTAGTTATAGTGACGAACAGTACCTAAATATTTTATCATGCATGGAGAATGTAATATGTAGTTATTCTGATTTACAAGTTCTTGTACTTGGTGATTTTAATTTGAATTCATTTAGCGCTAATATTAAAACAGAATTTGAACATTTTTGTGAATTCTGCAAATTAGTAGAGCATAACAATGTTCTAAACCATCAAGGTTCTATGTTGGATCGTGTGTTGAGCAATGTTGTTTCCACTGAGGTATCGGTGTCTCTCAATATTGAGCCTTTTGTACCTATTGATAAATATCACCCGACCCTTGATATATCAATAAATTTAAATAATCGTTTTGCTCCACCGCCACAGTCTGCACACATACACATTGAACGCCCTGAAACCCATCTCAACTGGAACTGGCGCAAAGCAAACTTTGTGGCACTGTACGATTCCATCACTGATTTGGATTGGACTGATGTACTGAACTGTAATCATGTTGACTTAGCCTTGGATGCATTTTATGCGAAGCTGTACCAATGTATTGACTTGTTTGTGCCATATAAAAATAGAATATGCCGTAATACAAAATATATTTATCCAAAGTGGTTCACAGAAGAAATTAAAATAAACATAAAATTTAAGCACTTCCACCTAAAAAAAGTTAAAGCTGAGGGTAAATTATTTAACATAGAACTGTTTAAATATTATAGATGGCATACTAAAAAGTTAATCAACAGTGCCTATCGGCGGCATATACAAAGTATACAGGTTAATATAATTGACGAACCAGTAAAGTTTTGGGAATACGTAAAAGATAAGCGCAAACAGAGACGTATTATTGACTCTTTTACATTTGAGGAGGAAGTAGTAGTCGGACAATCAGCTGCTGATGCGTTTTCACGGTATTTTGGTTCCGTATTTTCAAATGTGACACCACGTCTTAATCCAGAAGAGGCAGCTTATGTAGGTTATTCGGATGGTGATGCGAAAACCATTACCATTCCAACATTAGACATGGTGGATCTAAAGCGTGCTGTGAAACGTCTGAAGTCGAAATCGGCTGGTGGCCCTGACGGTATTCCTGTGTTTTTAGCTAAGGACTGTATATTGGTTTTAAGTGTTCCCTTGTTATTTATCTACAATCTCTCTTTACAAAAGTCGACATATCCTAAGCAATGGAAACTTTCCTGTGTCACGCCTATTCCTAAGGGAGAACCTGGACAGGACGTCACGACCTACCGACCAATTGCAGTCTTATGTGTCTTTGCTAAGGTGTTTGAATCAATATTAAACACCTACATTAGTCAACAAATCAGAAGCCTTTTAGATAATAGTCAGCACGGCTTCCGCAGTGCGCGTTCGACCACCACTAACTTAATAACACTTACCGATTACGTTTACGAACAGATGGACTCGGGAAGACAAGTGGATGCGGCGTACTTCGACCTTAAAAAAGCTTTCGACCTGGTAGATAACGACATATTGCTACAAAAAATGGCGAAGGCAGGTTTCATCCCAAAACTTCTAAGATTTTTCGCAAGTTATCTCAAGGACCGTTGTCAATTTGTCCGGTTGGGTATATTTGAGTCGGAAAAATTTTATACACGATCTGGAGTAAGTCAAGGAAGTACCTTGGGTCCGACTCTCTTTTTATTAATGATAAATGACCTGCCGAAGTCTGTTACAGTGGCGCAATGTCTCTTGTTTGCAGATGATCTAAAATTATTTGTCGGGGTAGATAAAGTGGAAAATACGAACGATTTGCAACGTGACATAAATTCTGTTGCAGAATGGAGTTATATCAATCGTATGCCATTCAACGAATCTAAATGTAAAATTATCACTTTTTCGCGAAAACGACATAATATTATAGTTGACTACAAATTACTTGACAAAACTTTAGATAGGGTTAATGAAATTAAGGATCTTGGCTTGACATTGGACACGAAATTGGACTTTCATAAACACGCAACATCTATCTGTAAAGCGGCAAACAAACTTTTAGGTTTTATTATTAGGACTTCAAATGAGTTTAACAATCTGTTAGTGGCCCGCGTGTTATATTATGCCTACGTACGTAGTAAGCTCGAATATGGGGCAATCATTTGGGATCCCCATGAAAATAAATATTCCCTTATGATCGAAAAGGTCCAGCGGAAGTTTGCACGTTGGCTGTACAAAAAGGCTTACGGCTACTACCCTTTTCTATATCCTTCGCTATTTGTATCGGGTATGGTGGGCATTGACACCCTTGCGCTACGGCGAAAATTACTCCTAGTTCTGCATTACCTTTCTGTACTTTATAACAAAGTTGACTGTCCTCACATATTAGAGAAATTCAGTTTTTTTGTGCCTGTACGCATCTCTAATAGCAATATGGGTTTAGTGGCGCCGCGACGGCGTCCGCGGCTGTTATCCACGCCCCGCACGCGTACCGTATACGCTGCGCAGGCACCTACTATACGTGCACTGCATCTCATTGGTGACATCCTTGCTCAACATGAAAAAAGTGATGTATTTTTTGATGGTATTACTCGATTAGCTATAAGTGCTCGACATTTCTTAACCAATATTGACTGTGTAATTGATTATTAATTGATTATCTGTGACTGTTATTATTATTTTTTTCTTGACAAATTATTTTAATTTATATGACATTTGTTTTAGTTTATTCTTTTCATGACATGCGTACTATTCTATAATTTTGTTATTATTATGATATTGACATCTTTTAAATGTAATTGAAAATTAACTAAACTGACATTGTTTTTTTTTTAATTTTCTTTTTATTGCTATGTTTAACTTGCTGGTGTGTTGGATGTATTAGTCTGTAAGTCAGCATGTAACTAAATAAATAAATAAATAAATAAATAAATAAATTAACAACATATACTAAAACTTCAGAAATTCGAAATGAACACAGCTGTAACCGTACTGTGTCCTCAAATTACAAAAGCCGTTAACAAAACCCGCTCGACTGATCAAGGTGGGAAGCCCAAAGATAATTCTTAATTATACTAATTACTCGTACCAAACAAACGAGTAATCCGAAATATTAGAGCCCCTAGGCACAACCCACTAACTTATCCAGAAGTTTATTCGCAAAAGTTACGTAAACATGAGGTTTCGGTCAATTTATATGTTACATTCATATCGTGGTTGCCTATTGAATTTATCGCCTCACTGATTCCAGAAAAATAAATGTAATTGCGTCTATATATACATAGTATTAAACAAAGTGACTTCCCGCTATCCGTATGCTGTTTTTTTAAATTACATAACGGATTTTAATACAGTTCGGAGTCAGTTAAAAAAAAAAGGTATTTAAGTACAATACGGGACCAGGCGGGTGAAGCCGCTGGTGGAAGCTATATATAATAATAGAGTAAATAATGTAAAGCTTTTATAACAATCAGTATCTTTCATTGTGTAGGTAATTATATCAAATTTAATACTAACGAGAAACAAAACTACGAAAGCGATTTGAAAGTTCCTAGCCAAATTACATAAAATATTACTCTACTTTGGTCTACTCTATAAGCAAATAAAAAAGATCTATTATTATTATTACAACAACTTTCTTCAGGTAAGCAGCTGATCCATCTTATACGAATCAAAATATTTCCATTTCACTGAAACTCTACAAAGTATAGCTTATTGATATTTCAAACGCCTTAGGATTTACGAACAAGGCCGTTAAGCCAGCGACGTCTCGTATAAATCGCCTATGTACCTCCCCCAAAATATATCTGACAGATATTGAGATAAATTACCCGATATAGTGCAATCTGATAATATAATCTATGATCAAATATGTAGTGATAATATTAAGTAAATATATCAAGTGAATCATGGGGTATACAAGTACTTACGTTTGTATCAATCATATCACATAATGACTCACATTAATGTAGTCACATTAATACCATCCTTTCTTTCCTATTCTTCAAACACTTTAATGATTCCCTTAATGTATCACTAAAGGAACATATTGTATACTTCCGAGCCTACTATTTTGTGTCTTGGAAAAATAGGAACTTCTTATAGAGGTAGTTCCAACCAGAAGACACTTCACCCATGTTTGCGAATTAATCAGTGATAAATGATAGTTTTTACGAGATTGCTACCATCTACCTTCTTTTTATTAAGTTCTCGATATTTCGGCGCTATGATCATGGAGTAACTGAAGTTTTTGCAATCAATCTTATTTTGAGTTTTATTTTTAGTAATTATGTTAGAGAATTCTTTCATTTGACACTCATATTATGAGAAAACTTATAACATTACTAGTCCGCCGTCTTGGATCCGCCGTCTATATTTGATTTAAAATAATGTTACTTATCGATAACTTTTATAGGTAATTACTTTTAAATTCAATCGCAAGATTAGACAAACATAATACATTCATTATATCAAGATAAATAAAAGCTTGAAAAAGTCTATTAAGATGCTGGCCTGTATACGTTCATTAAAAAAGAGGTTGTATGTATCTTTAAACTCAACTTCTTAAACACGATGACATAAAAAAAGAAGAAAGGTTATTCGATCGTCACTTATCTTTTTGCAATGCTTTCGTCTAAACATTTGTAAACAAATTCTATGAATGTTTTGTCGTTAAACATTACTGCAAAATTCCACAACATACTGAAGAACAGAATTGAGCAATGAGGAAGTATTTAAAAAATAAAAATTAGTTCTCGAAATCATACTAGATGTCACTCGCGATGTTTGGATATTGTCTATGATATTCATTCAAATTTTGTTTCTGACGTAATAAAAGTAAATTGAGTATCGAAAGTTAATAAATATGACATCGTTTCGTGTTTCTTACAATATTTAACTTTCAAATTATTTTTAATTTGTTTGCATCGTAACTTTCAGTTATTTATTATGTTACGTGTAAAAGAACGATGTTTGGTTTATACTTCAACATTAGTGATGAACCAACTTATTGGTTGCTCGTAACTTTCATCCGAATTCAGGTTTGGAATGAAGAACAAAAAGCGGATCGCAGAATACAGCTTGTATTTGTATGAGTAATTATGATTGATTGATTGATTGATTGATTGATTGATTGATTGATTAACACTTTATTGCACTAAAAACAAACACATAAAACAGAAAGAAATAAACATATATGCAAAAGGCGGCCTTATTGCTAGGGTAGCAATTTCTACCAGGCAATTTCTGTACTGAGAAGAACCAGCAAGAAACTCAGCAAGGGCTGCTTTTTTCTCTCAGTTTTATTTCATACAGAGAAGTCTTATTGGAATGTGACTTAATTAGGTCATGAAGTCTGTTCTCTTCTTAATTGTTGAATTTTTATTAAGATATTTTAATTATGACTGTAGGATTTCATAATAATCTTAGTTTAAAAAAAATCATAATTTCGAAAGGACAACTTATTTGCATTTTGTACTTTGTAAAAATGTCATTCTTACTAGAAGTTATGTTATTTTGTACGAGTACCTAGTATGTTTGATATATATCGTGTAAGTATATAGATAACAAATGATTTTTTTATTATAATTATCTTTTTTTATACTTTTGTTGCTGATTAATAAACCCTATTCATTCACCACACATAACATAAAAACATCATTGAATTTTGATGTAGTTTTGTTGCTGTAAATTCAACTAACAACTAATATCAACAAAACTTACTAAGTTATTTGATATTGTTTCAGAACTTTTGTTAAATTGTGTTGTACTATAATGAAAAATGCCTTGACCTGCTATGGCATAAGTATGTTATTTATAAAAACAATGTCATGGTTATATTATTGTATACTGTAGCTAAATGCTACTTTTATTAATTTCACACCATCAATTCTATCGATTTCCGTAACTTTTAAAAAACCTTCTCTAATCTCACTTCCATTACGTTGGTTTCCATTTTCCTTTATACAAATAAAAAGAAAGTTATACAAAGATTCGTTGGTATAACTCGAGTTGCGTTTGCGTAACTCGAACTAATTGAATGTCAACTCGATATTAATCAGAATTATCAGATCCATAACCACACTGACAATTCTGTTCCTATTTGTCTGACGTCATGAATTAACATCTAAATCCTACAATTTGTGCTACCATCTAGTTATATAAAATTTTGTAGTTTCTTTATTTTTTTTTTTAAATACTTGCTCATTGTCAGTTGACACAAGTTCGAGTTAGTGCTCATAGCTTGGTAAATATCGGGCGAAAAAAAATGTTACATTTAGCTCACGTCGCTAGATGACGCTACTGTATTTTAAAAATGATTTTGAATTTTTTGTAAATGTTTGTTTTTATTTTTTGTTATATAGCATTTTTCGTAAATTATATTTAAATAACCAGTGCATATTTTTTATGTCAGTAAGATTAAAAAATATTATTCATGTTTCATCAGTACTATATAATTTAAGAAAAACACGATTAAAAAGAAACGAGCCAAGCTCGGTCATCCAGGTACTAATCAGTTAAGGAAACAACAGTGCGTAGTCTCTTTGGCATTAAAAAAACAATACTTATGTTTATTTAACACGTTTGTTATATTTCAAGAGTAATCCCGAAAAGCTCTGATTTAGACGGTAGCTGTTTTGTTTTACCTTTGAATTTACGAAACACAAAATTCAGGCAGAAAGGCAATAACGGTCGATTTGTGTATTCATGAATCAAAGCCGGCCCAAGCGTCGTGACAGTTGCTGTGAATGGTGATTGCCTTTTGAATCAATTCTCTTTAATATTTTGGTCTTTATTTTATCACATTTTACGCGAACTGACGTCGGGACTTGATGAGATTTTAATAATGTAACCGGCCAATTAGGATAACAGCCAAATGTCAAGGTAATTGATCTTTTTATAATTATACAGTCAAGGATGATTTTTCTCGCGCTCCTTTTATTAAGACTAGGTATAAACTTGCGATCATTGTACCGCCTTAAAATCAGCAACTGTAGTGTTGCTTCACAATATAGTATGAGTATGTTAGAAAAAATAATAGTTACATAATCACAAATGTCATAACTCAATCGACCAGTAATTTTGGACCCTATTCATTGCAAACGAACAATCAAGTTCTTCTTTATAATATTAGTATTGATAGAGATGTAAAAAAAGCGTATTCTTTCTTAAATATGGTTAATGAAGTACAAAAACGAATTAGCTATGATTGAGGTACTTCCCGTGTTATTCTGTAGATAAGTTTACACACTGCCGTGAGATCCTGGCGTGATGCCAGGAGTACGTCAAGCCAAGTTCGGCAGGTTATCAACGTCCGTTTGACCTTAATACGAGGCCCCCGAATCTTTTCTCTTCCTCAATAAAACTTTATTACGAGCGATAAAATTGCCCAGTAAAGAGATCACTTCATATAAATATAATCGACACGTTTTCTAATGGAACGGATACGTATCTTGTGCTTGCAGATTTTTTTTATGTTCCCACGACAATCCGCGTAATAAAAACAGGGTTATAAAGAAGATAAAAAGTTTTTTTTTGTTTATCACCACTTTTGCCTAATATTATGTTTACCTGAACAGTCGGTATTTGGTACGCAGATGCTAGCGGATTACAACATTGTTCCTTTATTTTTCTGTTATTACTTAAGTTTAGTAACATATACTTTGAGGAGAATAAAGCTGCGAGTATAATGTTAGTTATTTATTTATAATATCGCCTTTAAAATTGAAATACTTTTACAAATGTGGTTTACATTTGTAAAAGATTTAATTTCTTCCTTATCAGGTTATACAATTGTTACACAATAATTAAAATGAAACATCTTTAAAACTTTGTACAAAAAAATCTACATTATACGTCGCAAGGTCGAGGGTTAAAGATCAACAGCATTCCTTGAATGTTTCAAAGGGTCAAGTAGAATAAAGAGCAAACATTCCCAAAACACTTTCGGCAAATTAGACACGTCGGAAAAAGTTCACGGGCATCCTCGTAATTTGTTCTGAACGAAAAGCCAACTGGGAATATACCGATTTTGTTTACACTTAAGACAATCGATGCAATAATAATTATCTGAAATTTTATTGGAGAGGATATCTATGACTTCTATTAGCTTCTAATTGATATTTGCACTATCTATCGAGCACTATTTGTTGCTTAGTATCCGTTGCCAACGATCTTTTTAGATTTATTTTTTTCTTTTGTATTTTGTTTTACTATATGTCATCGATGAACATATCGTGAACCCACTGCTTTTATTATGAGAGCTTTACACTGATTGCGCATTTAAAGAATATTTTAACTAGCTTTTTACCAGCGGCTTCGGCCCGTATTATAGATATAATCCTGCATCTTCAATCACTCTGTATATTGATGAAAACTTAATTAAAATCCGTTGTGTAATTAAAAATGCTCAGAACAGTTTTATCAACCTTTTGATAAGATAAAATCTCAGAAGGAGCCTCAAAAGCCGAGGTAAATATTTACAATATTTTAAGTACTCATTCTGGGTTTATTTAACAATGCTATTCAAGATTAACCAGCCTTGTAAAATAAATTGCAAACTCATTTCATCAAAATGATTTCGATACAGTCAATTGTGTAAACAAATGTTCAATAAAATTTTACAAATTGTATCCAAAAAGTTCGTCTCTCTTCAGAATAACGATACAGGTCGTACAATTTATAAAGAAGTTTTATTGTCTCTTATTATACCAACAAATATTGCTCTTGAATTTGGCGCAAGTACTTAGCCGCAAGCGAAACGGAGACACGGCAAACACACATTTGTCCCGGGGCTTTTCTAACAAACAGGACAACGGAAATGGATAGGAACGGGATAAATAATAGCCAACTGCGACGCACAGTCACATAAAAGAAAATCATTTTTACAGAATGTGAATTCTGAAAGGGCACGCATACATTTTTTCTTGAAAATCGCTTTATGGGCTCATTATAAACATTATTTCAGAATATTCAGAATCTTTAAAGTATTGAACTAACACAAAATTATATGAATATAATTATAATGCATTAATAATGCATTCTCCAATTCGATATTAAAGGTTATTTTACAACAATAAGTGAGTGAGTGTTCAATACAGAGTCAAGTTCTAAAAACACTTTTAGAACTTGTTTTAAACGAGTCACTTACACGCGCATATTATGTGGTTATTAGATGAAGTGGCTTCGTTTTGAACTTTATACGTTCATGGTATGCATAATATCATCCACGTTTATGATATTTCTAGATGACCTATACTACACTTCTTCGTATCACCTTTCACCTTTTAAACCTTACCTGGATTACGACAAATATTTCAAACATAAATCAGCTAAATCGGTCCAGCTGCTCTCGAATTTTAGCCAGACTAACGAACAGCAATTGATTTTTAATACATAATAACAAAATTTATTCAGTATAATCTTCCATATTTCTTAGATAACTGTATACGTATTTATCGATACAAAAAGTTTATTATAGCATATTATGCCGAACTAGATTTCAAGCTTTATTTTTATTTGTCTACAGGTTGGTATGAAGACAACTGGTTCGAAACGAATTTGGAACGGGAAGGAATAGACTGTACGGTCGAACAGATGCGTGAGGCTGCCGAGGGCCATCTGACCACGGAGGCTCTTATGTGGAATCAGAACGCCAACCAAACCACCATCTCCGGCATGACATCGGAAGATTTCAGGTTTATATTTTTTTATCGTAATATAAAAGGCAATGGTGACTGACAGATTTTCTGATCGGTCAATGCACAGCAAATATTGGATAGATCATAAGATCTAGGGGGCCGTACCGGTAGCAGAAAGATAGTGTAAAATAGATTTTTTAGTGTTTTATAAGAGGACATGAATCTGTGTCACTTACTGAAACAGAGCTCTATTTCGCTTTTATAAAATTGATAATGTTTCTGTATTTACTAAGGTTAATAAAAAATAAATTAACAAATACTACGAATTCAGTCTTTTCTGATTCTTCTTTAATATAGCGTCTTTGGAAAATATATCAAACTGACAATCGCAGATGTAACCTTTTTTTTGAAAGTGTCAAGTCCAAATATCTTAAAGGAGTAAATTGCCAATAAGTCTCGTTCCGAAAACGTAATTGAAATAATGAAATACCACAAGTTGATTTTATTCGTGGACCAATTATTTGTTGATTTGTTCTTAAAGTCGTCAGCTAACGGTTGAAATTATTAATAAAATTCATAAATGTCCGGTAATAACTTAGTTTGTACGATGTTATTACAGGAAAGTATTCAGCTTCAAGCTAAAAGAAAAAGCAGAAAATATTAATAATTATAAAATCCTACAATAAAGTTTGAATTTTGGGTTTAATATGTAACATCAGTATATGTAATATTTATCTATCTATATCTTCATGCCGTATCCGTGGCGAAATAAACTATAATAATATTTCTTTATAACTTTTGACGTTCAGTAAAAATAAATATCAAACGCACATTACTCTTTACATAACGTAACTTTACTTTCTGCACTTCTCAATATACACTGCAATTGTGCGAAACAAGCATTAAAATAACGTTGAGACACTGGAATAAAAGGGTATTTATTAATAACAATAAATTCATTAGTACAATTACAAAATTGCATGCAAATTAGTGTTCCGGCTTGCTGTTAGTGTGCAAGCTGCTATGGCATATACAGTTACATGCTAGTTAAATTTATGTGAAGTTTAATGAGATTACAACAACAATTCAATATACTTCATAGAGTATTCGTATGTACAAATTAATAAGAAGCTTGAATGTATATTTATATAATGGATATAATAAAAAACTATAACATAAAGGTCCAAAAACTGTATATTTTTTTAGCGTTATTAAGTTTTTGGTAAGTTAATTTCATTGTAGGTAATTGAATTTCATTTGTTAATTTAGAATTCATTTATTAATGTAAAGAACCTAGTAATAAGAATATTTTACTTTTCGATTGATACAATTAAAATTACAATATTTTACAAGAATGACAACTTGAAAGTACATAGACACGAAAATGATCAAAAGTCAAAAACGTTAAAATGACAGTGACAGATAGGGATGCCCGTAATGTAAGTGAAATCGAATTAGTGCTTTCAGTAGCAGTCGATCTTTTTTTCTTAACATTAGTAAAAAGACTACAACGTCACTCTTTCAGCTCGACAATGATATGATTTTAATCGTATACACATATTTCAATGTATATGAGCCTAATGGGGACCGACATCTTATAGAATCACTGTCTGTCGGTTCATCAGTCACAGCAATTTTTTCTAAGACTGGACTTTTCTACTGGACCGATCGATTTGAAATTAGTACACATAAATCGACGACCCAAAATCAGATGTCTTTGTTTAATATCTCAATGTATCTTTGTTTAATATATTAATTAGGATAGTTCAGGGCCGTCTTTACCAGGGGGTGCAAGGGGTGCGGTGCACCCGGGCGCGCCTGTCGAATGCTAAACTTACACAGTTTCATATACTTGTTACGATAAATACGTATGTGCCAAATTAAATATAAAAATAGTTATCATATAATAAAAACGTAACCAATCGATGTCTGTACATTGAAGATATATGAAAAAAACTGATCTAAGGGGCCTTAATAAGCGTAGTAGAACACAAAACAATAATTTTTAATTTTTTTGTCTGTTTGTCGGTTTGTCTGTTTGTCTATGCGTTTGTGCACGATAATCTCAGAAACAGCTGAACCTATTTAAATACAGTTTTCACTATTATATTGCGTTATTCTTCCGTTAACATTTAGCGTAAGATTTATTTCAATCGGTTCACTAATAAAAAGGTAATGTCAATTTGAAGTGACGTGTTCGCCAAAATTACTATGAAATATTAACTGTTACAATAAACTGTTGTTTATTAAATTTTCGTCTTTGATATATTGATCATCATCATTTACTCTTTCACAGCCAAACCGCAGGGCCTCAGGCCTTTGTTTAATAATTTTTGGTCACCCATCCCATGAACAACTCTTGCGAAAATTGTTTAACAATAGCGATCATGCGCAGCGGCGCTTATCCGTCGTGCCACCGAACTATGAATTAATATTGTCTATATAATGATAATTTGTATGATGACAAATAAAAAAATAAGATTCCACAATTTTGACTTCTCCAAAGTAAGTTGACCTCTTTTGTATATGGTTCAGTTTATAATGGACGTTTGGTACACGATCACGCGAGTAGAAGAACAAGGGAAAAGAGCATTCCGATGATGCAATTAAGCATCGAGTAGTTTACAGTGAACGCATATTTTTATCAGATTAGGTTCACGTCGTCGTCGGGGCCAGCGGAGGTGGTTGGCAGCCGCCCCCGCATTGCACGGTTTCGTCTGTCTGGAAGAGGTACTCTATTTACCCGAGCCTCTCCAATTTTCCATCTGCAAGGGAACCAATGGTCCAATACTTGAGTGTCCTGGTGACTCGGCCATAGCTGGCCGGGTTTTATCTCATATGAGGGAGTGTAGCGTACAAATTTTGGTGGGTAGTCCTCTGGGGGCCCACTGGGCAGCTCACTGTCAGGTTCACGGAGGAGAATCCTACTCACCCCCTGTTGCTTGCCAGGTAACAGAGACAATGTCAGAAGCTTTTCCACCACGTTAAAAAAGTTAAATTCAGGTCAACTGAATTTAAGAACATAAAGTCAACTCGAGTTATTATTTTTTTCTCTTATTACTATTTTTTAGTTACTGTAGTTGATAGTTTCAGAGGTCTAAAAGACGCATAGTCAATTTTCGCCTATTTACTTATAAAACTTTAATACTAACATAAAATTATAAACAATTGAAAATTATTTAAGATGCTTACAATAAGCACTTTCGTTTGATATATAGTTTGCAAAAAAAAATGAATATTTTGAAATAAACAAATTTTTAAATCACCTAATTATATATGGCTACCATATCTCAACTCAATAGGTTTGATAGTTTGAAAAAAATCAGCTATGACAGACAAACGGACATACAACGGAATCCTAGAAATGTCAAAGCCTTCATACTATTTTGAAATACAATTAGTATATTAAAGAAATCACCCATTAAAATAGCCTCTCGTTTAGCATTCTTATATCTTAAGAAGAAAACTATTCTATTTCCCGCGTTCAGTAAATAAAAAACAACATTATTAAACAATACAAACTCATCTCAATAAAACCTGACAGCTATTGTACTCTTCAAATGCGCGACACTTATTACAAATTCGCGTTATCACCCGGCCATACTCGGTCGTCATTGTTGTTGGGACCTCTAAAGAATTTGTAACATCCTTCGACACAATGAAGCTTAGAGAATATTGACAAAATAATAAAAACGAATAACTACACATTTGAACAGTGCGATAGACATTTGAAAACATATTGTAACCTTTATGTATAAACATTGTTTGAGTAATCATGATGTGGGTATCTGCTTAAGCGTATTAAAGATTCTTTGCTTCCGTTTAAATTCTTTAGCGTAAATAATGTGGAAACTGGCCCGTCGAAACATGTAAAAAAAATGTAATCATTCATGTAAGTTCATGTTTATTAATTCTATCATCATCTTGCTCGTAAAATATAGAGCATAATCAACGGAATGGGGAAAACCGACTAAAATATTAGTTCACTGTCAAAGCTTTCGGCTTTATTATTTGGCAACGGTCTCTGTACCAGATTATCGCCAGCTCGGGCATATGTATGCACTAATGGCAAATACAAGCCAGCGTACAAATTTAAATTAACGCAAACACTCTCCATAATAAAATATACATTTGTTATTCTGTAATTTTTTATCTAAAAACTTTACGACACTCGAATATACAATGGGAATGGAATTTACGTTGCCAATATCCTTTATTCCGTTTAATTTAACTGAACATTTGATTTAACACCTAAACTGTTAATCTTAAGTCTATTCTATAAAAGAAGAAAGGACTAATAAGTCCTGGTGGTGAATCTTAGGTTTAACAAGTTCCAATTTTCAATTCACTATTGCTCTCATGCACTATAGTACCATTTAAAATATATTACGTCGGTAAATACAAGCATCACTTCAACGAAGCAAAGGTTGAAGAAATCCCTAAGGGGCACCAAAGCTTATTCTCGGACAATTTTCATCCTCTACCAAGCGAACAATGTAATGTCGGTGCAGCGACTCTAACTGGGTGCTCTCTGCAAAATGATCTCAGTATTTTATTTTATCTACAATCTAACAAGATTGCTCTATTTTAATGAGTAACATAAAACTCGGTCAGTAATGTTTGAATCAACGCGATTCTGTTGGCAACATTTCCTACGTAAATGAATTTTGGATTCTTTCACGTTAGAATTCCTGCCAAAATCTAAAATGGCAAGTTCCTTAATTTCATATTACAATTAATAAATACATATTTCGATATATTGAGAGATTTTATTAGAGTTCCTATTATTAGAAAGCGAAAATTAGATAATCCACCTTATAATTGTCTATTAATAATAATTAACAAAGTAAAATTTTAAGAGTTAATTATTAAATCATTATTTTACACAAACCACTTCTATCAATATTTATATTTCAGAAAACCTGTTTTAAAAATTAATTTTTCCATTTAATTTTAATGATCTTTAATTTTTATTTTATTTAAATAGCATCCTTCAAATTTAATCAAAGCCTACACGATGGAAGCATTAAGACATCAATTTGTATTTCTTAACACAGGTAATAAAAATAGAAAAAAAATACAGCTCTCGCCGAGTTTCTTGCTGTTTCATCTCGATACGAGATTTCCTGCCCGATTTCCGAAATAATAGCGGACCGTGATACTCACTCTATTACCTCGTTTCTGAATTGAGAATTTACAGCTAAGCACATCTCGAACCATTTCAAACGTCACTTAAAAAAGTTTTCGTTTCTTTTTTTTTAATGATCTGTTGATAGCAGTTTGATAAAACTAGCACATTTTGCCATGTAAAAATTTGACAATTTCGTATAGCCTGACATGCTGTTGACTGTACATAACTCGTAGAGGAGAGTTATATTTCGCTATCTTCATCCGTCCTCAAAAACCATTATTACTCGTATTATCAAATTTAAAAAAATCTAATAGACTAGGCTGTACGATCTACATCCCTTTGAGATTCTTGTTTTCTTCGATCAGGTCACGACTGAACGAAGCGCTTCGGGAAGCGGGCTATGACATCGATGGAGAGAGATATCCCGAGGGTTACCAGGAGGCACCGTTGGCGTACGACGCTGTCTGGGCAGTCGCATTAGGTATTAGACTTTTTAAAATTGTTTGTTATCTCTGGAGATGCAGAAATTCATAAGCAGAATAATACATAAAGCACTTAAATATTTTGTGCAGACTTCTATTTCTAATACTTACTCTTTTTATACCATCATATGAATCATTTTCTTTCGACAAGTAAGTTGACTCCTAGTTGTAGTAAACCCTGTCAGGTTTTTTCATTCAAACATTTACCAAAACAACAAACATTGAAATGTAGGTTTAATTTAAACGAGTATTGCTAAGTTACATATAATAACCTAATATTATTTCCAGTAATTAATGATTTTGTTGCATCAATAGTACATTAAGATGTATGAATCCCGTTAAATTGAAGCAATAGAATAGTATTCCTATACTATATGTTCATAGAACGTAAACATTTAACATTGTTACATTTCTAGTACTTTAACATTACAATAATTACTCTCTGTAGGTAATTGTGTAATATGATGATATCGATGTAAAACAGTTATACAACCTTAAGTTTCGTAAGTCTACCCCAAGTCAAATTAAGACGAGCCTTAGGTAACAAGATACATTTGAGCTTCGAACTTGCTCAAGTTTAAGACATATTGTTAACGTTATTGATCCAAGTTCGCAAAATTTAATAACCGCCAGTGGCGTTCAGACTAGATCGTAAAGGGACCGCATTCCCGAGTTTTCAATTTCCTCGGACTCGCAACTAAGGTCCTATGTATAGCCACTATCCTACACTGCCCTTATAAAACGCTCAGTTAACTTGAACAATTTAACTTAGTACATTAAATGATCTATTCGATTAATTCCACTGTTTAAGTTTACTTACTTAAATGAAAGGAAGAAAGTTACTATTAGATTAAGATTGTGTAACTTTGATCCCCTTCGTTTGAACTTATGTTGATTTATTTTTAGCTTTCAACAAAACGATGGAGAAACTGGAGAAAAGCGGACTGAGCCTCAAGAATTTCACGTATACTAATAAAAAGATCGCCGATGACATTTATGAAGCAATCAATTCGACATCTTTCCTTGGTGTATCGGTGAGTATGCCACTTTGCCTCACAACTTGTGCCTTCTAACTTTTTTATTGTTATAAGTTACATTTGCGGCTCGTTAACGCTATAGAAACTTCACTGAAACAAGCTTTTTGTTTCACAAACTGCCTGCCAAATTAAATCGCAAATGTATTTTAACAACGATAACAACCTGTCTCGTCTCATAAATTAAATTTGAACAATAATAATATTTTTGTAGTCTATTTATTATTATAAAATCACAAAATCTCGTTGGTTACACTATTTATAAATCCAAAATGACTGATGTTTGATGATTTTCGATAATTTTTTTATCACCGAAGGAGCTTCATTTAAGTCAGGTACAAGTTTGCGTCAGCTGTTAATTTTGAGAAAATTGATATTTTTTTTATTATTATGATACATATTCCTGATGTTGTAGAATTAATAAATGTTCAAGTTACTTATGACCGATATTATAGATTCTCATAAACAAAGTCAAATTTTTTTTTGAAACCTACGCCATTGTCACTTTCATCCAGAACTGATACCGTAAAGGAAATCTCAATTTCAACATTAAACTTGAACGGATATAGAAGCCGATGCGGAATATCTGTAATTTAACGCTTATAAATTTCTTTATTATAAAATAATAAATTAAACAGAAAACCATCGACATCGTAAGCTATTGTCAATGTGGAAATCAATTTGTTAACGTCACAATAACTTACCGCTTCATTATTAAAGCAATTAAAACTTATGGTAGGCAGGTGAACGGCTCCTTCCACTTATTATCAATTATAATGGAACTTTTCAACAAATATTATTGAAGCTTCAATATTATTTTGATAGCTGACGACTATAATAGTATAATAACCACTAATAATATATAAGTATTTTCATAGTTATAAAATCAGTGTCCTTTTTTAAATATGATACTTTTTATAAGCTTAGGTTTGTAATAAATATAAGCAAATTTATCCATACTATTTTAAAATTTATTAGTACAAAATCAATTTCGGAATTTTTTATACAATTTGGTACTCTTACTTCCAGCTGTGCGTACTTACTAGGGAATGCAATCTCGCGAGATTAGGACTCGAGCGAGATTTCGCGAGTTTATGAATATCAATACCGCGAGATCTCGCCAATTACGAGATTTCGCGAGATTGGCACTTTTGTGAGTTTACTGTTTTACTATAATATTTATACAAATCACAATATTTGAATAAATTAGGAAAAAATACAAGAATTAGACGTATTATGAAATGAACATTTATTAATACGGGTATTTTAAATAAAGTATTTATTATTGTTGACGCAATTTTTTTTTATCTAAAACCTTTAAAAGAGCAATTACTCTATTATAGTCTCGGAAATAGCTCCAACAATTTTCATAACATTAAGTATACAGGGGCTTTCAGAGGCGATAAATCGATTTAGTTAGGTTTAATTTTTTTATTTTATAAAAATGCCTAGTAAAGCTTAGTCATCCAGGTACTAATCTTTGAAGAAACTAAACTTTGACGTATATAATCTAATACGAAATGAAATAAATAACCAGTCTTCTCTGCTGATATCAAATAAAAGTTTAATTATACTCGTCATATACAGTTTTTTATAACAATAATACAAAAACTAAAATTTTACTCATTAACTAAGTTAAATTGACTATTTAACTGAGATTATTAAAAATGTTCAAAGAATCTTTGCTATTCGTCTTATTGTCACGCTGCCGCACTTAGAATAAATCGTTTTTATGCTCGAGTGCAATCTCGTTAAACTCGCGAGATCTCGCCCATTTTTCGACCGAGATCAATCTCGCTAAAAAAGATTGCATTCCCTAGTATTTACGCCTGTAGAGATATGAAAACTGAGTAAAAACGAAAAGAAGAGTTCTTATCCGTTTTTTTAATTAAAGCATCTGAATAGTTCGTCTGAACGACCCATATCCATTGTCATTTTCATAGCAAGGTAATGAAAAGACATCCTTGCTGTTACTGAATTAATTTAAATTATCTAACATTGATTCAGAACCGCTGAGCAATGATAGCGTTTTCTATTCTTCACTATCAAGCAGTTCTTGTTGATCAATCGAACTAGTTGCAGTACCATAACCAATTGAAAGAGAATTTAAACACTTGACTAATTTGCTTTCATTTTACTTTGCCAAGCTGCTAGAGACTAGAACAGTGTTGCCAGTCCTACTGTTTTAATAGTAGATTTGATGTTTTCACATTGATGCCCCTGTTTTCTATTTCATTCCTAATTTTTACTGTTCAGCGCCACATATTACATTCTGTAAATATAATCCAAAACGATTGCTCTCATTTGAAGCCACAGTAAGGCACCTGAAGAAATTCAATTAAACTATGTATGATTTTAAAAAGGAAAATGAGTTTTTTATTTCGTTTCGTTTCATTTGTAAGTTCTGACGACTAATAAAAGTATATCAGTGTTATTACTTCAGTTTTATTTATATGAGTACAGAATGAAATATGCCTTTTTAAGATATCCTACTGTTTTCTCCTGTTTTTTTATTGGTGATCTGTCGTTTTCTAGTTTTAAGGAATTGGCAGCACTGGGTAGAAATGAAAAAACGCATTAGTAAACTTGAATAATCACACAAAACAGGTACACTTTTAAGGTCGACTTGCGAAAATAAATGATTTATTTTAAATATAAATAAATCACACCCGACCTTCACAGATCAAATCGTTGCAAGATTTAATACCATTAAATTATAGTATACCGTAAAAATGTCATTAGTAAACTCATTCGAATTAATTTTATATTATTAAATTATTTTCACCACAGTCTAACAAAAATAATGTAGATCCCTATTTAACGATAAGCATTATTGGTACCTTACTACCTCATATCGTTCTTTATTCATTCTGACGTAATGGAATCATAACACACATCAAAGCAGATTACGAATAATATAATGCCGTCTACCTTTGAATTTAATACCAAAATACAAAATTCATAAGCGCATCTTTTATAAAAGGTCTTACTGCTGAATTCTCACATGAAAAATACATGAGTATTCAGCCATGTATGAAACCTTCGTGCGTCCTGGGATCAATGGTTTGACATGGCATCTGCAAATACTAGGAGCACAGATTAGAATTGTTTAAACAAAAACGAAGAAATATTGAATTGTATTTACTTACGCATAATTAAAAAGAACCATATAACAAATTATAATTTTAGACAATAGCAAAAAAAATGGAATTGTATAATAAAATTAAAACAAATTACAACATTAGCAGTGATTTTTTCTATTGTTAATACAACTATAGACTTTTTTGACAAACTAGTAAGGTTCGTTAATTGTTATGAGAAAATATGTCTAAAAAAAAACACGGCTATATTTCATGTTTGTGAAGTTATTCTTCACAAACATGAAATATTGCTATAACACTCATACAGTGAGTTGCACGAACGTCCATTAAGGTTTAATGGCGCCTTTAGGCTCAAATGAATGTCAAATTTGTATCGGTAATGTCGCTTTAAAGTTATGAGAATTTATTAGACATTTGTGCAACTGGCTGATAAAATATTAAATGCATAAAAAATATAATAAATAAATAAATATTAAATAACATCAGACATACATTGCTCAGATTCCAAGATAAGTAGATAAGCCCCCGTATTATGGAGTATCTAAGACAATGAAGGTACCACAACAACCAGACCCGAGACAATATAGAAAGTCCATTTTCGACATCTACCGGGAATCGAACCTGTTACCTCAGAGATGACGATACTTTGAAACCAGCGTGCGTATATTTTCCTTCTTAGCTGGGCTAAGAAAGAAAATATATAGACATTAAATTGAATAAACGAAATTGAAAACTGCTTATTCGTCTTTCATTGTTATACGTGGCCTTCTACGACGTCTCTTACAAAAAAATTATTATTAAAGTAGTCACTCAATTTTTCAAATTATGTTGGTATTAAAATACCAAATTGTAATATAGATATTTTAAAATAAATGAGGAGTAGAGGTGAGGTAAATAAAATAAAAGAATCAATCGAATCAAAGCAGAAAGACACTTAAACATAATAAAATAAGAAGATGCAGAAATTTCACCATTCATCAATCTTGTCTTTCTTAATCGAGATATTTTGGATATGTTATTTAATAAACAAAATAAACAAGCTACACAAAACCGTAATATCTTATAAACAAAATACGAAATTTTGAAAATTTTTGGTATGCAAAACTTGCACCAGTCGTGCAAAAAGCGCATCGAACTAAACTTTCAGAATATATTCCGGGAGTTGTGTTAATAAGTCACCGGCGGGACACATCTGCGCGCTTGACTTCACAAAATGGGTTTAAAATAAAACTAACAGAAGTTTCGCGACTTTTACTTATACTTACGTATTAACAGTTACGAATTTTATGGGCGCCATATAGCAACTTCCATTTGATCGCAAAACTATTAGTATTTCCAACAATTTTGCGATTCAATTCACTAATGGAATTTGCTACTTTTATTATAACAGTTATTTTGTCCCCTGTATTTGATTACTGAATTGCTGTTAGAATTAAAGTACAAACACTTTTTTTTTCTACTTTTACTCTCTATTTATAGCACAGAATGGCTGTCACCCAGATTTTTGCCTATATATACGTATCTTAATAAAATTAAGATATTTTAATTTAAAATGTATTTACTTACATTTTCACCAAAGTTCCCACGTGAACCGCGACAGCTATTCAAAAATCGTACATAAGTTTACTTGACAATAACAAGAAATTATTAATTGTCTCAGAAAGTATGATGAAAACTACATGTAGGAAGACAGATTATATTAATATCTCTAACTCTCTGTAGCTATAAAATCATAATGTTTATTTACGAAAATATGGTTACAGAGTAGTTTTACAATTTTAGATCAGCGTATTTTATCGACAAAAGGATCTGCAAATATTAAAGTCAAAATAAAATAAATTGTCCGATTACAAGACTTTTAGCTTATGCTAAGTAGAATCATCATCGCCAACCTAATAATGCCCCCACTGTTGGGGCTTAGGCCTTCCCTATGGATGGAATCGAATAGGAAGAATGGAACATGACCCACCACGCGGTTCCAGTGCGTATTGGTGGGTATTAATGATTGCCGGGACTAACGGCTTAACATGCCTTCCGAAGCACGAACGAGTTCGGTTTAATTAATTTTTGGTCACCCTTCTTATGACCGGTCATTACGAAAGTTACTTAACAATCGTATAGTATACCGAGCTTGCTAGCCACTAAAGACTCGAGCTCCTAAGCATAATAATTGTCATGTATGTTTATTACGTACGTGTATTCTTTTGTATTATTTAATCGCGTTACTGCTCCTACGTCCTGTCTGGTAGTACTATCGCATTTTGCTGTTCTTTGCACTAATTTTAAATAAATAAAGCAGAATCACACACATGTTATATATCTATACTTTAAATTCATATCCCAATTTCGTTCACGAGCTTTATTGTTCTAGGGCTTGGTGGCATTCTCATCGCAAGGCGATCGTATAGCGTTGACACAGATCGAGCAACTAACTGACAACCACTACGTGAAACTGGGATATTATGACACACAGGCCGACAATCTTACGTGGCTTGATCGTGAGCGATGGGTTGGTGAGTACATTACATAAAAATTATTAATACTGAAATAATAGACAAAATTATGGTGAATCCTATTTGCCTAAAAATGTACGACCAAACGATATGTTTACAATTTCAATTTCCGAAATTAAACATAAATTATCATTCTCTATTAAATATCAAAACCTCTATGAAGAAGTATTTAAAAAAAAACATTAGTTCCCGAAATCAAACTAGATGTCCGGTTTTCTTTTATTTTTATTAGCTAAGAATTGGTATAAGTAATATACATCTTTGTTGTAATTATATTTCAACAAGTGAAAAAAAAATATTAAAAACCATAATAAAATAAATATCACGCTTTTATATTTAACAAGCAGACCGAATATAACTTTCAAAATCATAAAAAGCAATTTTTATCTGAAATTCTATTTTCATATCCATTAAAACCCAGCTTTTATTTTGATAAAGCACATCTATTATTAACACCATATTCTAAAACAGATTACAGTTAGTCGATGTAGACCAGTTCAGTAAATATTCAAAGTGCGCAAAATCACAAATCATAACACCGTTTTGGATTCAGTGCGAAATATTACTGAATATTAGTTCGTCTGCCTCTGTTTTAAATCAAACGGAACTTATTGATATTTTAAAATAACGTTTGTTACTTTTATACGAATACAAAGTATTTAAATATAATATAATGGTCGATTAGTATTAAAATACATTCCTTTCTAATTCGTAGTAGGTTTTTTTATTATTATATTTTTTTTCACTTCTTCCTTTTGTTTTCATGCAGGTGTGTTTTTTGTTTTTTTCATATAATTAAATTAATATTGTATCGTAAGGATTATTAAGCAACTTGCGGTGGTCTAAACTACTGATTTATTAATCCTTCTAGGGACCACACGTGGCTCAAAGCTACATATGCTTGACTTTTAGCAAAAAATCGCGAACTTAAGTAAACCTTAGCTCGGTACAAAGTAGTTCTTAGCACTTAAAAGCTTAATAATTTGAGAACAACTCACTATATTTCAAAACGGTCTTCGCACACTTCTACTATTTTTGAAAGACCTATCCAATAATATTCCACATTATAGGAAAATCTAAAAAAAAATCCCCACTTTACATGTAGGGTACATTTAGTGACACTCGGAAGGTTAATTCAAATCGATTGATGTATCAATTATCATAATTGGCCAAGCCGTTTGGTCTGTACATTGCCATATAGAAAAAAAACGTACAGACATAGACTCATAAACATATTACCCACCTTTGCGTTACGCAGTCGGGTAAAAACCTATGTCTTTTTTATTGTATTTATGATTAGAAAACACATTATTTCTCTCCGCTTCATTAAAGAGATTCCGGTAGAAAAGGTGTACATTTTTCTTCTTTAGACAAACATCACAATTGGGTGAATTCGTTTAGTAGGATTTTTGATACTAGAACATCTAAAAAATTATATATAAAAGGTGACGATAAAATGCATCTCAAAACAGTCATTACACCAAATAAATTACCCTAAGTGTACGTACGAGAGTAAACATTTATAAAGACCACGTTATGTAATGCGAGGAACACGAAGCGAAATAAACTTAGGGCTACCACCAATGATTTATTTTCTAGTAAGAATTATTTATCTGTTATTTTCTAGTCAGAAAAATTTTAAATGAGATATTGAAACTTAATTTCATTGATTAATATCTATCATTCATAATCACTATAAATAACCAATATTGAAAATGGAACTAAGTGGAATATTTATTATATAATCACCGAAGCACGTCATGTTAATACAAATACTTTCAGCAATCAATTTTTTACTAGGTATATACCTGACCTATTAAGGTTCAAAATCAATTAGAGATTGATAAAAGCTTTACATAAACAGATGCGCTATTGATTGCACTTAAATGAATTTTCACTCAGTTGCCTTTTTACACATCATAAATCGTTTTTTAAATTCTAAGCAATAGTTAGTAATCAACAAACTATATACTTTTAATAAATGACCTGTACCGTACTATGTGAATTGATAAATTCAGTATTGTATTTTTTATTTGTTCGAAAGACAAAAGAAAACGAGAAAATTAACTAATTTTGTAAGCCCTATTCGGGATTACACCACGTAAAAGTGCCGCAGACGTCACTCCGTAGAAAAACAACATTCTGCAAGAAAATTCCCTCCGTCTATCGCAACTTTTGTCTTGTGACAAAAGAATGTGGCAACTTTACGCAGAGATTACGTAACAACATTTGACAAGTTTTGCCAAGAAATCGCTGTAAGTGTTGTGTCATGAATAATATTGTAGATAAAGATCCGATAAAAATATGGTTTATGTTATATAACGATTAAATACTGGAAGTGACTTGTGCAAAGATAGTTAAAGAGGAAAATGCTCAGCAATGTATGAAACCCGAAAGAGATTCATCATCATCATCATCATCATCAGCCCTTTTACGTCCCCACTGCAGAGGTTCAGGCCTTCCTTACGGATGGTTAAGGAGGATGGGCCATGACCCTCTACGCTAGTCCAATGCGGATTGGAGGGAATTAACGAATGCAAATGCAGCTGGGACCAACGGCTTAACGTGCCTTCCGAAGCACGGAGTAGCTCGAGATAATATTTTTTACCCATCCCGTGACCGACCTTTGCGAAAGTTGCTTAACGACAACGATCGCGGGTCGCGGCTCTTAGCCACTACGCCACCGAGCTTGTATTTTAATGATTCATCATCACCAGCCTGTTAATGGCCCCATCGCTGGGACTGAGGCCTTCCCAATCGATGGAATCGGATCAAATCATATAGGGAGAAAGAGCCTTGACACAACACACAGGCCTAGTGCGGATTCATGAGTGTTAACGACTGCAGATGCAGCCGAGAACAACGCCTTCCGAGACATGAAAGAGCTCGAGATAATAAATTTTTGGTGACCTATCTTATGATTGGCTCTTGCGAAAATTACTTAATGGAAATTTGCTCAACTGGGTGTAAATCGTCTGGGTAATAATAAATAGTGGTGTGGAAATTGCACTTCCTGATCAATCACACACGAAAGGATATTGCAAAATCCGCTCCTACATGGAACCAATCCTTATTCAAACCATCGATTTTAATCGTACGTTCTTTTATACAATACTAGCGGTGCCAGCGAATTCGCCCTTCGCGTAGAAAGTAGCCTTATTTACTCCTTATTAAACTATCTATCGGTGAAAATCCCGTCAAAATAGGCACATCCGTTTCAGAGATTAACCGGAACAAACAGACCGACAGATAGACAAAATATGAAAAAAAAAATATTTCGGTATATGTACCGTGTATCATTACTCTTTCTTAATATCATTTAAATATCACAAATGCTATCAAATTGTACCCTTTTTAAAGACAAATAAATATCTATTCTATTCTTAGTAAAAGCGGTTATTCTAACATTACAAACAGACACTCAATTTTTATTAATTTGTATAGATTATATGCAATCACATTAATATTATTCGAAATCACAATTAAGATCAAAATAAAATTTTCCCTTGTTTTATTTTGTCTATACTGTTATTTACTAATGTCTGGAAACTACGTCATCAGTATGTAAGTATTATCTGGAAGATCTTTTACAAAAAAGAAAATCCAAGAATTCTATGAATCATATTAATTATTGTAAAGCCAATGTTGATCAGCGCACTCTTTTTATAGGTTGATGTGATTCTTAAATCTTTAAGACTTCATTTTAAACAATCGTACCTAAATAGTAATTTCCTTTTGTCTAGAGAACTCTTCATACATCAAAACCAAGTAAAAGAAGGTAACGAAAATTAATTGTTACGTAATAATCAATAGATTTGGATCCAGAAGTTATTTTATTAAGCTGTACGTTTTAATATCCTTTAGTGTTTTATCGGACTAAATACAGGAAACATTCTCTTAAAAATAATTAATAACAATTAAATAAAATAAAATGGAGACATAATTCAAAGAATAATAATTACGTATTTTTCGATCATTCGATATAACTTTATACTTCACAATCGTATAGATGCTTCATATAGATGCTTTTAAATTATTTATAAAAGATTTATTTATAAAATGAAATTTTATAACACAAATAAAAAGATAAGTCAGAATAGTATTCACACTGTAATATTCTATACGTGTATGTTGAATTTTTCAGCCGAAACTGTTTCTAATTCTTGAAATAGCTTTTCTAAATTATGTATAAACTTTACGACGGTTTTACGGGTGAGGTAAAATGGTAAGTGATGTGAAGTGTTTCCTTTCGTCAGGTGGAAAGGTGCCCCCGGATCGGACAGTGGTAGTAAACGAATTGAGAACGGTATCCCTGCCGTTATTCGCTTGTATGACGGCACTGTGCTTGGCTGGGATACTAGCGGCCATCGCATTGATAATCTTTAATATTATACACAGACACAGAAGGTAAGTTTAAATTATAATTATACTTTCTTAGCAAAACCACGAAAATTAATAACGCAGTAATTTTCGTGTTAAGAACACTTTAGTTGGACACTTCTAATTTATATTAATATATTAAATTTATTAATATTTTAAATAATAACTAACATATTTCCGAAATATTACTTCTTTTATCAATGATAATGCTTGAAGTGTGGTGATTCATAATTGGTTATATTCATTGGTACTGTTGTTAAGTTTGTACTTTGTAATATTTTCTAAGATACTACAAATTCGCCCTGTCTAATATCTACAATATTTACTTTAACATCATACAAATGATAATTAATTATACACAAAAATTTTACTTCATAACTACTCTGTTCATTAAAGGAAATCGTATAAAAATCTATTAGGCAAACAGAAGCGGTCAAGGGATTTCGTTTCATGATATTGTAAGGCTTCATTTTTATTATGTAAGTACCATAAATGAAATTAAAATATAAACAAGATTCGAATGGATGACGTAATAATACGTTGGTATCACATAATTGTTTTTTTTTTGTGTAAAAAATAAAAAATCAGCTCTAGAGAATTTCTTAGCAAACACTCGCTTCGCTCCTCGTAACTTTACAACCCATGTCCTTTTTATACAAAAGAGGTCAGTACAGCGGTACGAGAATAAAGCACCCTGGCATTAATGTTAAAATTTAAAACGGTTTTTTATGGTTTGTTTTTAACAGATTCCCAACAGTATGACAAAATTATTCACGATTTCTTGATCCTATATAAAAAGGGATTTAAAAAAGGTTACGTGTGACAAAAAAGGTTATGACTATGATGGTCATAATGTAAAGAGAGGAATTACAAAACAAGTGTCAAGACTACCTCTTGAAGGTTTTCATAATAGCAAGTGTAGATAATAATTAATAATTTATTTTTCATACAGTTTGCATAAAAGACTTTCTCAAAACTACTGATTGACACCCGGTTTCTGAATTGAAAATTTATAATTAAGAACGTCTCAAACTGTACTTAAACGTCACTTAAACAGTTGATGATCAATGATCAATTGATAGCAGTGAAACTTGGTCATTTTTATCTGAAACATAGTATTTAGAATAATCAGTTGAGACTTTATACTTAATTCAAAAACCGTCTGTTTTTCGCGTTTGAAATAATTCTCGTTTAAAGTGTTCATTTAAAAATGTAGCATTTATGTTATTTTTTTAGAATTTTCTTTCTCAGAGTAAGTTTTACTACTTAGGAAGTGTCTACACAACACATGATGTCCATCTCGTGATTAATTATATAAATTCCTAAATAATACACGTGCTATTAAGGTTCTTATTTTTATCAAATGTCATGGAAACGACAGAAAATCTCCAGTAAAAGCATGAAAAAAAATTAGAACTAACAAAGTCAAAGTCAAGTCAAAAAAGTCAAAAGTCAAAATAATCTTTATTCAAATAGACTTCTTAAAGTACTGTTGAATCGTCCACCATTTTTTTTCCCTACCACTCGTTCAGGACGTCTTAACCGCATATTAATTAGAATTAGTAATTTGATTAACGAACTAAATACAAAGTGGAATGATGATAGTCGATTCAACATTTCCAATAGCACGACAAAACATATTAAGAATGTATTAGGTTGTAACATTGAGAGTACAGTGCTATATTGAAATAGTCGCTGAACATGTCTTTAGCATATTGTGCAAATGTCTGTCTTTACAGTGGACAGTTATATCTGTATATAGATGTTACCAGCTTTTGTTAATTTAATTATACAATTCTAATTTCAACAGTTTGTATATGCGGAAGCTTGTAGTTATCATACTGTGAATAATGCTTTAGGTTCCCATAAAAGAATTAAATATATAAAATAAAATTCGGGTCATCTATATCAGTATTGTTGTTATATATTCCACTGTTATTTAAGCCTATTTTTTACTACACAAGGGCTCAAACCATGGACCCAAACAAACAACGATAAAAAATATCGTTAATATAACTGCTTTGTTTTCTAAAATTCCAAACCTATTCAAGCACAGTGCAAATTGATCATTACCACTATTGAGAATTAATGTAATGTACCTGAGTACCTGTATAACAAGAGGTTTCTCATTTTTTTTTAAAGACGGAAATGCTTACTTTTCTTCTCAGTTCCTATTTAGACATATAACGTGACGCCCAAGAGTCCTAAAACATTTATCAATTTGTCTCGCATTTCTTCTTATCTTTTATTGTTTTCCAATTTCCAGAGGTTCAAACAGAATATACATACTTCTGCTTCCACGGTTCTAAGTTAGTTCTCACTATAATGTTATTTAGAGTATTGCTTATTACAAAGTATACAAACGATCGAGTATAATCACACATCAAAGACAAAAACCACCGCAATATGATCGTTACAGTACCCCCATCAACGTCAAAACCAACCCTCGGCCTTGGTTTATCGACGCAGGTCTACTTAGTAAACGAATTCATATATCACTCGATACTTTGTATAAGACTCTTCTAAAATGTTTTTTGTTGAGCCTCCACTGAAGCGATATTAACAAATTGAATTTAAAAGTTGCCGGGCAAAAATATGGCCATGATTAATTTAATTTCTCCTTAATGAAAAGTTTATCTTGTTTACAGACTTCTTATTTACATTAATGAGAATAATAATAAGGCAAAACTTTAATTTAGCTTCCATAAATCAACATCATTTTAACGGTTCATAAAATGCTAAATCAATGTTTAATTTCACAATATTAAACGTTTACCGTAATATTGCTATATAACGGTAGATATGAAGATTTAAGTATGCTCGAACGTAAACGATTGAATGAATGGGAAAAATTCATTGGATTTCAAAGTAAATTAAAGCAATTGAGGATTAAACGATTAGGGTTGAGGGAGTCACTCAGGTTTTCCAATCCGTGAAGAGGTTAATTTCTATTCATCGGAAATATTAAAACGCCATTGGCAAATATTCTGATGTTCCGTTAAATTGAATGCTAACTGTCTTTTCTTTTAGATGTGCTAAACGATTTTTTGCGTATAAAAAATTGAATCAATACAAAATCTTTTTTTTATATTTCTATAGTGTTTCGCTTAAGTTTTGTGTCTATGCTATTTTATTCTTACGCGTAAAATACATAGAAAACCAAGCAATGAAAAGACTTATTTATAGTTCTTCACAAATATAATATTAATATTAATCCCAAATCCCAAAGGTTGACTGGTAGAGAATGCTAATAGCATTAAGTCCGCCTCTTGTACCAATTTAATGTACAATAAAATTTGTTAAATAAAATAAATAAATAATATATTTTCAAGACATTCCTAACGAAATGCCATATTTTTCATGAATATAAAATCGAACGTAATAATTGAACAGAACACTAGCTTTCTGTCAGCGGTTTTGCTTGTGTGGTCCTGTATTATACAATTAAACTTTCTTCTTAAATCAATTTGTGTATTGAAATGCATGAAAACCGCATTAAATTTACGATAGCGGGAAATTTTATACATTATATAATACACAAATGTCAAAGTCACATGGCCTGTATAAATAGTTGACGTGATGTATTGGCTTTATGGGTATAGGTATAAAATTCCTTTGTTTCTTAATAATGAATGTCTTCTGAAGTATCAAATTTTCCCTGTTTGTTTCCCTTTTCACGCCCCGTGCAATGTGCTAAGGCCTGAACCGTATAACAATTTTATGATATCACTTATATGCCCTTATTTATCAGTTCTAGATTTATCCACACTTTCATTGCTTCTGATATACGCCGCTGCCCGCGCCGCCTCTCGGACAAAGACTAGTTAGAGCTCCCTACAGCAAGAGTAGTCAAACCAGTCTTTTTACTAAGCCAACACAACATCCGTTTCCGGACAAGTGTCATTATTTTAAATTATTATTATTTTAAACTCTGTAATTTCTATCTGTAAATAGCTATTTACAGATAGAAATTACAGAGTACTTTCTGTGGGTAAATTAATTTGTATAATGTAATATAATTTATAAACCTTATTTTATAATTTCATTTTACAAATTACATTTCTAGTCCAAGCAGATTTTTGGTTCCATAAAAAGACAACTACAGAATAATATTTAATTAAACTACATATTTAAAGATAATATAGTTTCAATTCTTAAAAAAATCACAAAAGTCACTTGGTCCATAACATAATGTAAGATTCTAGACATGTAAAACTTATACATAATATAATCATCTCAACTGTCGCAGTGTAGTGGTTTAGAACTTAAACTGAAGTTGTCCTCCTGTTAAAAGGAAACGGCACTATTTGTGTTATGAATATCCAGTTTTGTTCGAAGAACTTGAAGTTTGCGTGTCTTTGAACACTATAATTATGGAAGATATTGAAATGGGCAAATTTAAATTGTTTTGGAAATGTTACATAAATTTGTATCTTCGGAATTTTCCATCGTAGAAAGTAATCAGTTTCAAAATGGAAACTTATACTTAGATATATAATAAACATTGTATAATGTCTATCTGAACGCGATAAACTATAAGACTACTGAGCAATTTTCAAGCAAAGACCATATTTAATGTTATTTATTTATTATATTATGAATTATAATTCATAAAAGCTTTTGTGTTTAATTTATTAGGTTTTCTTTATCAACAATATTGCTACAGTAAAAACACAATGTTAAATGTATGCTTTTTTCTGTATCTATCATATACTATTTATTATTTTCAATTATAAAAAATCAAATCGCGCCATCTATTAACAGCAGTGACGAATTAAATTGTAAAGTTCCACCTCAAACTTTTTGTTTTCCCAGGGTGATACAATGGTCACATCCCGCTTGCAACACTGTTATGCTCTGTGGCTGCTGTATATGCCTCGGTGCGGCTGTGGCACTGGGCGTTGACGGCCGGTGGGTCCAACCGCAGCTCTTCCCCGGTCTTTGTGCGGCTAGAGCTTGGTTACTCGCCACCGGATTTTCTATGGCATACGGAGCTATGTTCACCAAAGTGTGGCGAGTACATCGTCACACGACCAAGCCGAAGGTCGACACAAAGGTACTCAACATGTGAAAACATATATATGGAGATAGGTATTTTATTGACTATTAATGATTCCACTGCTATAGCGCAGGATATCTATGGATGGTTATTAGATAGAATAGACTAGGGAGAAATTTATTTACGTATTTAGAAGTGAATCCAAGTCAAAGATAAAAATGGTTCACAAATACGTTGTATTCGATTTATTTTGCAATTCTTATCAACTTAAAAAGCTAATTTCATTTTTTGAGATAGTAAAATATTGTTGAAATGAACAAAAAAAAAGACTATCCACCATAGCTTCTTTTATTCAATTTTTTTTATATAATTGAGTTATTTGTTATTATGTAAATCTAGAATAAAAGCAAACGGCACCTTGCGGGACATTATTTTTCTAAATCGCCCACAGGAAATTGAATTCTGGCCAAATCGCCCGATAGATATAAAATGCGGTTGTTTCACTGATGCATTTATTCTTTGGAATAAAATCAAACACGTTGAAAGCTTAAATCTTTTAAACGTTCAAACGTAAATATATTTTTTACACTCCTAAAACAATTAAATTCTATGACGGAATACAAGAATTTCGATTAAAACGTTAAGTACCGTTGTAGAGCGACATCGAATCGGGCAGTAAAACGAAGTTCCTGGCACATTTTTATTTCACTCTTGAATTTTATTTTTGATTGTATTAAACTTCGTAAAGCCAAGTTTTAATATGGCGTTCACTCACATACTAAATCACTTGAATTATGGCGACATAAAAGCCTAATAAAACCAATATTACGTATAATTATTATAGGGAATTAAGATAAGTCATATATAATTACGAAAATGTTTTATAACTCTTTTATTTTATTTCTATATACATCATTATGAAATTCATATTTTAATTTTCACAATCATTTTCATATTTTTTTCCCAAATATATTAGCATATCGCTTGAACAAAACTTATTAAAATCAATCTGACGACAACCGCGCCTTAACTGGCTATCTGTCGAGTTCGAGTCTGTCGGCCTCTTTCTCTTCAAGTTGTGTCTTGTTTAATGAATCATAATTGCACTGAATAATCCTTATTAATATTAAAGGCCTTGTAATCCCACTTTAACCATTCTTTAATTGTTTAATAGTCAATTTTTTTGTCTACAATTAGTGCCTCAAACAATTTTGCAAAAAACATTGGCAAAGAAAAGATAAAAATAAATTAGTTACAATAATAGTTGTTGTTAATAATTAGACCAAATTAATTTCTAGTGTAAGACATGTCCAAAGCTAGAGTCAAGTTGTGTGATTTTCGAGACAACCGGCCCTTGATGTTAAAATCTACCTGCCTAGGAAAACAAAAACAATGACTTACGTGCAGAATCTGAATTGAAGAGATTCGAAGAAATGTCGGAAATTTTTAAATCTAACATGCCGTGGCATCTCGATAGAACAATGCATTCTTGCATCCAGAAACGTGTATATAGTTCTGAGGCGTGGATATGATGGAATGAGTGGAAGTTGTGCTTCATTGTACAACTGTCAATATTAGTTAATATAATATTATTGTAATGTTTGGTATAGTTATTTAAAAAAAAATATGAAGACACACTCTTCTACAGAAATCATCATATACTAACTGGGTAGGTCCCAGCCTTAGAATATTGTTTATAACTAAATAAAATGATGACAAATTTTTATGATTAATTATTTTAAATGCGGCTTTAATATTGTTAAAACTAATAGGGATGACGTCTGGGCAAAAAAAAAGAAATTCTATTTAGTCCGTCAGTCAGATAATAGAAAAATATTAGATGCGCATTTTTTATATCAAATTTACAAGAAAAAGCTTAAATAACAGACACTAAAGTTGTAAAGTGGGGGCTCTCTACATCACAGTTTTAGAAAATCGCCGTAATTTAATGATTACGAAAAAAAATAAAAAATACTTATATAATCTTATTTAACAATCTACCTGACGGACAAACAAACAAAAATTTGTCGTTATCCCTATTATGTGCATATTTTGTGATTTGCAAAATATAACTTGAACATCAACGATAAGGTATATTTTGACATAAATATGTTTTTTTTAGAAACGTATGCACGGCTGGAAACTATATACCATGGTGGGTGGTCTTCTGGCGGTGGATGTGGCTTTACTGACGGCATGGCAGTTACGAGACCCATTACAGAGGACAGTCGAGATATTCCCGCTTGAGGCGCCGAGACACCACGACGATGACGTCCATATCCGACCTGAATTAGAACACTGCGAAAGCGAACATAATGCTGTATGGCTCGGTAAGAGAAACTTTATGGCTGTTTTATAACCGCTTAATATGGTAGTATTTAAGAATGAATTAAGGGGAATGCTCCGAGGAATTGTTCGGACTTATACCTGCCGCTACTTTCCGCCATCGTTCCACGCGACAAGAAATCCACGCCCATCATGTGGATGGTTGGAAGTCCTCAACTGTGCGTTTTTCTAGAAGTTTTCTGCCTCGCAAAGCCAAACTCTGGAACAGTTTGTCGCCAGCGGTATTTCCGGACCGATACGACCTTCAAACTTTCAAGCGTAGAGCTTATTCGTCCCTCAAAGATCGGCAGCGCACTTGTAGCTCCTCTAGTGTTGCAGGTGTTCATGGGCGGCGGTAATCACTCACCATCAGGTGATCCGCTTGCTCGACTGCCCCCTATTCAATAAAAAAAAAATCTATATAAATTAAACATTTATATATGTTTTAATCGATATTCTCACAGAATCATCATTATCTTGTAGATTTTTTGTTGTGATATTAATATCAGTTTTCCTGTTGTTGGTAGTTAACTACCATCACTCAGAAAATCTATGAATCAACAACTCAAACAAGATTAAACTCCCAATACGATAATAACAACTTATAACATAATGCATAACAATAAATGGCTGACAGTAACTGCTATTAAAAAATTAAACAGCCTTAAATCCCCATCTGCTGAAGCGCCCACAGCAATAAATGTGAAAGAACAACTTTACTTTGAGGTAATATTAATCCGGGAAAGAATAAATTACACTTTATAAATCTCTGTCTTCCACATCCTCTGGCGCTCATTTGTTTAGGAATGTTACTAAAAAATTTCAAGCATTCTAGCAGCTGCTAACTAAAAAACTTCTTCGTGCTTCATAAATATATTTAACACAGCAATATTGCTTAAAACTTATGTGTATGTTGACTTGGATGTCTGTTAATTTGACAGAAATTCACAATAATATAAAGCCTGTTTTCAAGATTAATATCCGTGCCTGATTGATTATGGATGAACTCTTGGTATGAACAAATGTTCCGTGTTCAAAGATCAATTTCTAAACAAACCAACCACTTAGGAAAGAAAAAAAATATAATTTATAAATATCAAACTTTGAAGGGCATGCAATTATTTTTGCTGGGCAACCAATCAAAAATTTTCTTATTAATTCCAAAAGTAATGCAGGATACGTATTTCTTAAGCCGTAACAAATGCCAATTCCCGTAATATTTTGACGGGCCACTATTTTGAAAAATAAAATGGAAAATTTATAGAAACTCTATTTTAAATCCTATAGCGGTAACGAAAACGGTGACTAAATACATATTTAATCTTGCAGGAGTGATGTACGGATACAAAGGACTGGTGCTAGTGTTCGGCTTGTTTCTTGCATACGAAACTCGCTCTGTGAAAGTGAGACAGATAAATGATTCCCGTTACGTCGGCATGAGTATTTACAACGTTGTAGTGTTGTGCCTTATCACGGCACCTGTGACGCTCGTGATCGCCAGCCAGCAAGATGCCGCGTTTACGTTTGTCTCATTGGCGATCGTCTTCTGTTGTTTCCTCAGCATGGCTCTCATTTTTGTTCCTAAGGTCAGTATTCATTAATAACTAACTATGATGTGTACACTCAGCCAATTATTGATTTATAGACCAGTATAGAACTTTGTTGTAATAAAGTAAATGGTTATAGAACAGAAAGTATACCCTATTTCTCCTAAAACGAAACTCCATCTATTTTTTAGAACGCTTATATACACCAATGATACTCATTTTTTCGATAATTTATGACATAGGTCCTGACACTGCCTCTTAACCGAGATATCTATCTGAATTGCCTCTAATACACAGTTAATTTTCACAGGTTCACCATTCGAAATTTTACGTATTTTCTTTTATAGAAAAACAGAGTATGCACTCATACCTTCATAATCAGCTTATTAACGATCCCACTATTGGGTTATTATCGCTGAAATAAAGTAATAAAGTGTGAATTTATTGATATTGATAGTCATCAATATAGATTCCGGTTGCATCTGAAAACATTAATATGTGTTCAGATGAAACCGGAAATTATAGATAATAAATTTTTGTTCTCTCATCCTATCACTGTTTCATCAAGCTTCTATAAAAGAAAAGTTATCGGATGATTACTTGGCAAAATCTGCATCTTATCACAAACTATCGTACTAAAGTAAACATTATTCGTGATATCTACAAAAGCCTACAATTATTACTTAGAAATATATTTACCAGCCACAAACATAGAACTGTGAAAAGCGCCAGCGAAACTGTCTAATAATAACTTGTAGAATTAATTAAGTCACCAAGTTTAACTTATGAAACCTCGTCAGAAAAATACTATCCATTTTTACGTTAACATTATTCGCCCACTAACCTCATTTACCCGAGCTCAAGTAGTACCGCGATAAAAAGCTTAACATTAAATTTAGCTGAATAAAATGCCGTTCTATAGATCCATATAACGATGAATCATAACAAAATTACCTTACTAAGAAAGTTTGTGAAATAGATACCAACCTATTCAGAAGAGATTCGTGTTAGCCAATGAAGCGACCAGCTTAGCTGTGAAGTAAATATAAATTTAAACTTGACAACGGATATCTTGGGCTTGCATTTTATATGTTTATAGTCAACAATGACGGTAATCTGTTAAGGTATATTGGAGTCAGGATAATTTTAAGCTGTTATATATTAAAAACCGATAGTTAACTTCGTCACAACCCCTTTTTCATGATTTAACAGGGGGTGTACCATAAAAATATCGATAACTTTATCGTGCTTTGTCTTACTCTATAACATTACTTTTACATGCTGTGTTCATGCCATTACTTGCCAAACCGTGCTGTATGAAGAGTTACCAAGTCCCTAAAAAGATGACTCTTGTAAAAAAAAAAATTACGTAAGCTTTCTTAAACACTTACTCGATTGGAATTACACAATTCAATCACTACTTATATTATGAGAAAAGAAGTTTTGATTATTTGTTTAATTGCATTGAATAGCCTCTGAAACTACTGAGGATTTTAAAAATTATTTCAACTACGGGAAGCTACATATCGACGCTGGAAAGCAAACACGTAGTAACCCGCAAAACCAAAATTGATCTTCAAAGCAGAATAACTTTAATTTTTTTCGATAAATAATTCCTATAAACGTCCATGGTAACAAATAAGGTGTTCCTTAATCAGTTTATACAGAAATAAGACATTTTTTTTTGGGAAAATCGAAAGATTTTCCATTATAAATATCCATTTTGGTTTTGCAGGTTACTACGTGTTTGCTTTCCAGCGTCGATATTACACGGGTGATATAGGCTATAATTACGAAACAGATAGTAACAATTAAAATATTTCTCTCTGTAATCGTCTGTACTCTTGACAGAGTGGTCATGGTTTCATGATGTCTGAATTGGATAATGCTGCCTTGGCGATGCACCTCCACTTTTACCAGTTAACAGTGCCGAACGTTTAATACGGCAACTGAGCTCTTAAAAGTCAAATCATGTAACGGTGTGCCGTACCACCGTTTATTTCGTCCTAGGTTTCAGTATGCAAACGGTCCGGGCCCACCTGGGACTTATTTTAAGAAACCAGGTGTTGGACCAAGAGAGAGGGTAGTACGGGGGGTTTTGCACGGTAGGCCCACTGCACTGGACCGCCGTCCCTTGCAGTGGGAAAGCCTAGGTTCCGTCGGCCTCTAGCCCAGGTCGACGGCATGTTAAGGGCAGTTCCCCTCGGTATAAAAAAAAAACAGGTTTCAGTATGCACACTTTGTGTCTTTGATATTCAAAATCATTTCTTTTTATTATTCACCTTTCGTAATTTGAAATTTCGACTAATCAAATATGCTCTCTATGAATGTCAGTTCGTAAAAAATTAAATTAAAAATATAAGTATGAGATCCATCGCCATCTTTCATTCATTTTATTTTCATTTTACATGTAGAAATCAATTTATTTACTTGACATTGGCAGAATTGTGCGAAATGCGCAGATAAGCCATTCATAAAAGAAGAAGAAGAAGAAGAAAATATAAATATAATAATTATGAAGATATGTGTTTAAAATGAAAATGATAAATAGAATACATAAAATTATATCCTGTAATAGCATCCAAGTTTTTATAAAGAAACCCAAAAACGGGTATGTGTTTGTTTTATTTAGCAATCTTTTTATATTAATTTTTTGTTTGTTACAGTTTCTTTTCTTTACCCATTATTACCATAAAACAAATAAATTTTCAAGCTAGCCTTTCTTAAATTCGCCCAAGCATCGAACCCGTCACAGTCATATCATGCAATACGGCAAAGGGAGCATTACCGCACGCCAAAATACGGCAATTAATGTATCATATTAACAAATTTCTGACTATTAAATTTATGAGATAGAAATAAAATAGTTCTCGAAATCAAACTACCTAGATGTAACTACGTACTTTGAAAAATTCGTAGTGGTTAATAAAATTGTCTATCATCCACTTTTAGATTATATCACGGAACTATTTCTCGATAAATGTTCCTTGCATCATTTGAGATAATTCAAAAGAAGAAAAGCAAGCTATTGATAATATATGGAGACTTTTATCTAATACAATTCAATTGACAGTTACAGTTCAAAAATAAACAACAGCACCTAAAGAACTTTTGGAGAAAGTTTTATTATTTCCTGAAACCACTATTTCGTTATTTAGATTCTGTCCTTGAAGTTCCTTTCTTTTCAGAATATATGATATGAAATTTATGATATTAAATTGCAAGTTAAATAATCAAACAAAAAAAAATTATATATGAATATTAATTTGAATTAATTACCGATTGAAGGAGGAAATAAACTTTGGTCGTTTTTATATTAACATAAAATTATAAATATAGTTGAGCCAATCCTCTAAAGATGAACTGATATAAGTTTACCAATTAGTTTCGTAGCTCGATAACACAGTAATTAGCGCGCTCGGCCTGAGATACAATTTTGAAGCAACTTTCGCAACGGCTGGTCATAGGATGGATGACCTAAAATTTATTATCTCGAGCCCCTCCTTGCTTCGGAAGGCACGTGAAACCGTCGCGTTGGTCCAGACTGCATCTGCAGTCATGAATACCCACCAATCCGCACTGGGTCGTGGCGTAGTCTATTCGATCTGATTGATTTTATAAGGAAGGCCTAGTAGGGAGGATATAAATAGGTTGGTGATGATGATGAAGCGATAGAATACCTAACATATAATATATGTACAATTGCCACCATACCATAAATTACAAACATCTTAAATTCATGCTGTATAAACATCATTAAATATAAATTACGGTATCAGATAACGCAAACTTAACTGAGCCTTCATCTCCACTTGATTTCACACAGATTAAGGGTCTTATGAGTCAGTGGTTTAAAAAGATAAGAATGGTTTATTACCTATAAAATGTCAGCCAACAGTTAGATATTATGTTCATCGAGTTCACTGTACGCTTCATTTATTCTCTGTTTTTACTTTTTAACAGTCGACAATTTTCTCAAATCACGATTTAATTTAAAAGATTTTTTATTTTAAGAAATCTGTCATGTTTTGAGATATTCGCTTTCATATAGATTTATTTGGAGATTTTTATAAGTTTCATAGCCTCTCGGAATATCCACATTAACGAACAAGAGTTAAAAACTAATCTAATACAAGTATTTCAATCCTAACATTTGATTATTATGATTTATATTCATGGGGGATAAAGAAACATATGACCCGTTACCAATAAATTATCCTCCCGTTTCCCGTAGCTCACGTACGTTTACGACTGAGTTATACCAACCATAATTTATACACATGTCGCAGTGAACTAAATAAAATAGATTTTCAATTAAGCAGCTAGCCTCTTAATTGAACGGCACGGCTAAACGTTGATAAGCTCAGTAACCGAACACAACGTTCTACGGCACAAAGCCCAGCCAGATTTATCCATCAAGAAATGCAAAATTGATCAAATGTAATAATTATATTCCTAATAAATAAGAAACAGTATTATTTGCATATTCAATGGAAAAATATCAACATAAAAATACCTTGATTTTCTATTTCATATATAAGTAATTATTCTTCTTAGTTTTGTTAAAAGTTTGATTACATCGAATTACTCGTAGGTAACTCCATTACTTAACAAGTTGCAATTAACTTGTCGTTTTAAAATAAAAACTTAATCATAGATTCATATAAGACTGTCTGTTAACGCCATTATGTAATAAAAGCGAAACTAGCTCCGTTATTGAAAATGAACAAAAATAACGAAACGGCAGTTTTGAAAGGACATCGCCGAAATTAGCCCCAATACCATTAAATATTAATAATTCAATAATAATTACTAATTAATTTATTAAATTGGAATCAAATATTTATTTGACACGGACAAGCTGCGATCCAAAATTAATATTTAAAAGTACTTTAAAAGTAACATTTTTATTCGCAAATATTCACATTCAATATACTTAAATTCTATTGAGTCTGATTGAGTCTGATGGATGTAATTTACACGTCAGATCAAGAAGATAATTTATTTTTATTAGATAACTTTTAATTCATCGAACACAAAAACATTAAATTAAATTGACCGAAAATAAACTTAAATTTACTAAAAGCGCCATCTCTTGGTGATTTTCCAACTAAAACATAAGGACATAAAAACTGAATATTATACAAACTAAATTCATTAACTGTTGATAATTCACTCTTGTTTATTCAGAAAGATTGATATAAGTTCTAAAACTCGGTCGCGGTATAATATTTTTTTGGCTCTGGGGCCACCAATGTATGGACGTTAAGCAATGTCCTTAACCGCCCTATTGAGTATTTGTAAACAAACATAAACTAGCATTGTAGCGGCTTTAAAATCAGCCATCCTATTGAACGATTTAATACGAAAACTAACAATGAAAATGATGGTGTTATTCAATTAAAAGGGTTAACCGTACAATTGTATACCTGATTTAACTGGTGAGCTGCGACATACAAACTACTTTAGAAATTACATTCAGTACCGCTGCATAAACTTAGAATCAAAACTTAAAACTCTCTAATAGAAATAAAAAAATCATTGCACACTTATAACCCTTTAAAAACTATTTTTATATCTGATTAATGGCTGTAAAGCTGTACAATGTGCGGGCCCCGTTTCACGGGTAGAAATGTGATTGCAAAGACTAGCGGAATGGAAGTTAAACATTTGTTATCTCTACAGGTGATTGAGGTGATACGACATCCAACAGAGAGAGCCGAGAGCGGCAGGGGGTCGGGTTCAGGGACCGCCCCTGCCGACGAAGAACGTTACAGGGAACTAGTCAAGGAGAATGAAGAGCTACAGAAACTCATTGCACAGGTAAAAAAAATATCTTCTGATATTAACACTTAATCACTCAAACAATATTATAAGATTTAATGATGAATTCCAATTCATCGAGACACCAAGCAACGGTTAATTAGTTGTTTTAAACTATATAATGACAATTTAATTGACGTTTGAGCAACTGGATGTAAGTTTTGTTTACTAATGACAATTTAATTGACGTTTGAGCATCTGGATGTAAGTTTTGTTTAAAAAGTATATTCGATGGTAAATGTCGTAAATTGATTTAGAAGCATAGTAACATTTTATTAACATAGTTATAATCAAACCTCTAATAATTTTAACACTCACATGTACTTATATTATTATTAAATGTAAAATAATAATGAAATAATTAAAAGAAAACGGGAACAAATTGCTCGTAAATGTTCCAAAGCTCGTAGAGAAATATAATTAGAGTTACACTTTACAAAAGAAGTTAAATAACTTTTTATTCGCTTAAAGTCGCAGAAACATCGACATTTCGTAATAAACACAGTATGCTGCCAGAGATAAGGATAAAACGCAAACAAAACCATAACTTTTTTGACAACAAACAATAAATTTCCCCTCTATCGCCGTGTGAACTCCATTGCCTTTTCCTATTCCGTGTTTTTTTATTTTATTTGCGAAAAACATTGTAATAGGATTTATGTAATGGTAATTTTGGGTAGGTTTCACTTGAAAATTTAATGGAATATATATTTCGCTAATCTAAGTATTATTTTTATCTAGCGCGATAGAAAAAAATATTTTACTCAGACTTCAACAAACTATCAAAAATACGCATCATTTAACTTTTCACCAAAAATGTACAACAAAATTTTACTATCCATCAAACAAAGTATATTTATTTCCAAACGTAATAAAAGATGCCCGCGCTTAGTCAACCGTCCCGTCACGCTATTTCATATTTCATCCCGTAATATTGTGAGTAATAAAATAAAAAATTCCTTGGAATAACTGAATTTTTCCCCAGTGAAGTAGGAGATCACCGTTGAGCCTCGTCTCATTCATAGTCGGCTGCTTTAAGGCAAACTAGGCTCGGAACGTCCTTTATTAAATAGCTTTTTTATTCATGACATAAAATTCTCCTCAACCCATTCGTCTACTACGCAAAACATTAGATTAATGACAAAGAAAAACAATTTTCTATTTCACCTTGTTAATTAACGGAGTTAATAATCTACTTAACGCTACTAACTTTTAAGACAACTTAAGAAATGTCAACGCTCTTGTTAAATTTCTGTTATTAAGTCTCTATCGCTTGTTTCAAAGGATTTCATACTATTGTAAATAAGAAATAGTTAATTTTAATGTCATCTAATTCATCTTATTGTTTTTGTATTATTTATATACTTTTATATAATTTACTAGCTTTTGCCCGCGACTTCGTCCGCGTGGTAAAGTTTCTTTGAGCAACATTTCTAACGAATATTTATTCATTATATCGTGTAAAATACCTGAAAAAAAGTCATATCCTTTTAGCTTATGCCCTTAGGGATGGAATTTATCAAAATCCTTTCTTAGGGGATGCTTACGTCATAGTAGCTTTATGCATGCAAAGTCTCACCCCTAAAAATTGACAAAGTTTCATACAAACTTTCATCCCCTTTTTTATCCCCTTGAGGGTGGAATCAATCAAGATCCTTTTTTAGAGAATGCCTACGTCATAGTAGCCTTATTTATACAAAATCTCAGCCCGATCGGTTTAAAATTGACAAAGGTTCATACAAAATTTTATACCCTATTTTATCTCCTTGGGGATAGAATTGATCAAAATCCTTTCTTGGCTTAATCCGTCCAGTGGTTTGGGCTGTGCGTTGATAGATCACTATGTCAGTCAGTCACCTTTGAGTTATATATATTTATATCATTTTCCCGTGGGAATGCGTCATTTTCCCGCGGTAAAAAGTAGCCTATGTCCTTTCTTGGGTATTAATATATCTCCATACCAAATTTCATGCAAATTGATTCAGTGGTTTAGGCGTGATTAAGTAACAGACAGACAGGGTTACTTTCGCATTTATAATATTAAGTAAGTATGGATGACAGCTTTAGTTTCCGAAAAATGAATGGTTATAGGGATAAATTATTCTCACCAGCACTTATCCACAAAATATAAAATAAAATATAATTTATCCAAAAAAGTTGAACTTTTGTCTACCACCAGAAAAAACATAATAACTACATCTATGCCAGTCACAACAAATGATCATGTGTAACAAACATTGTTATTTAATTATACTAATTAATTAAAAGGAAAAAGTTGTAAAGATATCTGTGTGCCTAATATTTGCATAGCTATAGGAATGTAACATCCATTTGCTTGATTGAAAAATGCCAACGGAACGTAAGCGTTGCAGAAAATATCGAAAGTAAACAAACCGACATTCGAATGTGCACGTTTGGTACCGCGGAAAACGACGGTAGTGAATTAGAAAAATTGAGAGGTTCCAATGAATTAGAATATAGTTTTAAACTAGGCGTAAGAATGTAAGATTAACATTAATACATTGCTAAATTTAAGTATTACTCGTATTATCACATGTAGTGTCAGTAATACTGTGCAAAACATACAGTGCTACTTATAAATAAGTTTGAGCGTCAGAGTAAATTTACGCTAAAATTGCAATTTTAGTGTTAGTCCATACTCATATTACACAGAGAATAAGCATATCTACTAACTTCTAGGAGCAAATATTACTTCCGTAGAACCTCGTACTAGGTTAACCTTTGATGAGTCTCTCTTTAATAGTATGAATTTTTAGCCGTCTCAGCGTAAATTTACTCCAACGCTAAACCTTGTTTATAAGTAGCACTGATTATATTTATCAATTCGCGGCCACAAGTCGAAATTAAGAAATTTTAAGGAGAGCAAGTTGAAAAATTTCAGGTACTTTTTGTTTATTTTTGGCACATTTACGTTGTAATGCTTATCTGTTGTATCATTTGAGGCGCGTTTTAATTCTGTATCTCTTGTTTATTTTATCTCTCTGATAACTACAACTCAAAGATAGTTGGAGCAAATGAGTTCGTTTAGCAAATAAAATGATTCTCACGAATAATGTGTAATATATGTATCAATATCTATTATAAATTGATAAATATTTCTAATCTATAGTTTTAATAGTAATAGTTTTAAATAGCTGAAAATTAATGATTGAAAATTTAAATAAATATAACAAGGTTACTGAAAAGGTTGGATATGTTTTATATTCAAAGCATATGAAGAATACTATTTAATAGATAAACACAATTTTATAAGTAATGTCTTCGGAGTGTCTTTAGAAACAAGCATTTTGAAAATAAAATTGAATAGTTCGTGTTTCCTCCTATATTTTGATGTTCATATTTTCTATACAAATGATGATAACGCCAAACGCGGCCATCGATTTCGTATCGAAAATGACTATTACACCCCCATCTAATGGATTGGATAGCGTTACAAGGGTCACGTTAAAAAACCCTGAGAGGTTCAATCGGTTAAATGCACTCATGAATTTCCAGCCGGAAAGAAACTCTAGCAAGTAATATGTGTAATTAATTAGATCTCTAAAAAGAAATTTATGTTGATCTCGTTTGATTATCCAAGATTTATCTAAATTAATTGTGTTACCTATGTAAACAATAACTATCAATGATTTTGAAAGGCAAGGAATTAAAAAATCCGTCGCTATGTATCTGACGACCGATGCATCGTTGTCACATCAGTCGCGGAACGTCAAGCTGATTATAATAATATGATATGACATATACGGTCAGTTGGATAAATATCCATTAAGGCTTGATGACGAGTACTAGTTCATGGGGTAGTCGGTAAACGCCAATCGTTGTTGTTCAGAAACTTTCGCAAGGATCGGCCGCGGGATGGGTGACCGATAAATTACTATCTCAAGCTACGCCGTGCTTCGGAATACACGTTAACCCATTATTCTCAGCTTCATTTGCAGTCGTTAATATCCTCCAAGCGTGTTTCTTAACCCTCCATAAGTAAGGCCTGAGTCCCTGCAGTGCGGACGTAAAAGGGCTGATGATGATGACAACTTAAAGCTCTGATGAATGTTATAATTTGAAAAATTGTATCGGTAAAGTCGCTTCAAAGTAATGACAATTTTAAAGTACATTTGTGCAATTGCATGTCAACCTTGCGCACCCTACGGATGATCGAATCCTCAAATACAAAATTTTAAATAAGTAGAATTAATACAGTTCTTTAGTGGATTCCGTTTCTGCCTACAATCCATTACGGACCTATTTTAGCTGTGAAAGAGAAGGTAAAAAGCTCCACAATATTTAGGACCGACCGTCAATTCAGCGACCATTACTCTTTTTGTGAAAAGTTATTCGTCTATAAGCCATTGAGAACCGGCAATAAGTTTAGTCCCACGAGAAAACATTTATGATGTCATATTTATCACAGGTAAATCAATACACCAAGCAGTTCGAGCTTTCCTAAAATATATTTTTTTTTTATATCAAGAAAAATTGACTCATTCCCGTTTTCCCTAAACTTAAGAGTCGTCCAAATCTGTCGTCTACATATTAAGGAATCGTCTAAGGTGAAAATGCATTTCACCAATGACTAGGATCCACATTGTTTCACCGCTTGCTAATAAAGTTCCAGTTAGTTATCTAACATATAACGGTATCTGACAATTGTATGTCACTTTTTATCTGTTTTACGTCAGATAGTTCTATCTGAGACTTATGAAACCAAAATTTTCATTTAACTGGCAGATGAGTTTCCAATAGGCTATCAGCAAGTGGTGAAACGGATCCTAAATGTACAAAGTTGTGACATTCGTTCTGCAGTACCTTGTCCTAGGCATTGGGACGTTTGCGTAATACGATAGATCACAAATATCTCAAAGGATAAAAGAAAAAAATGTTTATTTGGAATGAAACTAATTTACTCAGGCTATTCATAAAGATTAGATATTTCCGAGTTAAGATGTGCCTTGTTCTAGGTTAGTGAAAACGGATATCAGTCGCACTCAAAAACACAAAGCAAGGGTTTACAACAACTTTCCAACCATTATCCTACTATAGTTCTTACCACGAGAGCAAGTCAGTCGTAAAGAACAATCTTCCTTATAAATAGAAAGCTATGGAGGTAGTATGTTTAATGATAAAAGACGCGGCTGAATTCGCCCCGATAAAATCCCTTTGCAAACTTCTTTCGGTTTTTCTTGTTAACGTATTTTATGAACAATATTTATATTATACTTCTTCAGCATTCTTAAATTATAATTGGCGGAAAAAAACCAACTAGATTTACTAGCAAAATGCACAAAGAATTTCGAGAAGAACTTTTAATAAATATCACTTTTACTTTCGCATATTTTGACAGTTATCCATTTTCAGCTTCAATCAACAATACAACTAGATGTTCGGTCATAGTGTAAAAGATGGCCAAAGACATAACGCCTCACTTCAAAGTGCGGTCTTATTTTGATTTAGTTTGTTTGCGACGGCGCCAACGTTCAGATATATTACGATGTCACATTGCGTATTAAAACTGAAAATATAACTATCGAAATAAAAATGTATCTGTTGGTATATCATATTTAAGGGTAAATGTGATTTTACAATGTCTATAATTAATAATCAAAGTATTTTCAATAAAGTAACCGAGTATTGTTTCTGACCTAAGCCACGCGCCAAAATAGCTTTAAAAATAGAATGCCGAATATTCGATGTTCTAAGACAGCACATACATGAAGTATTCCAAAAATTTGAACAATAATTTAAAACCATCTTGGTGAAATGGTTTGTGTTCTTGATTATAAAGCTGCGTGTATGAACATATAGGTTTGTATCGGTCCGGGTGTTTTATATGTATTTTAAGTATCTATTTACAACAAAACTATTTAAAGCAAAAGATGCATTCTCTGAAAGTGATTTAAATTGGTAATTGAATGTTAATAATTTTTAATAGAGATGAAGGTTGGAAAATACCATCGACTTCGGATCCAATAATTAATCAAATTAAATCTCAACCCAGATCACACACCGCAAAACTTAAAGTAACAGTTGGTTCTTTCTGTAAACATTAAAATTACAGAGAGTAATCCAGTATATAGCCAGTTCTTCTTAGAAAAGATTCCCAATGTTTCAACTGATGGTAGTTTATGGTAATCAAGGGTAAATAAAGAAACAATAAATTAAATATTTTATAATTGCTGTCTGGTCCCTTAATATCGACGTATATGAATCAAGAAAAATAAAATTGACAATGCGACTCCATACTTACCCAGTTCCGGAGCTCAGTTTTCGCCTAAATTATTATCACAGAATATACTCTGTGGTATTATGTTCCTTGGTTGTCGCAGTATACTCTATGGTTTGGTGCCGTATTTGAGAATCGTTTTAATATAGGAGGCGTTATCTAGTTGTATTTTTGACCGAAGATTTTCAGAAATGGATTTTAGAATCGTAATTTTTTTGTAAGTGCATATTAACACGACATTACAAAATAGCATAAATGTTGACATTGCTATACCAATTTCAATGTTAACAAAATTAATTATTGCAACGAGCATTTTTTGTATATTTTCTACTTGTACCGCTAAATATCTTCACTAATCATAGTATAAATATTATTTCTTAACTCCCAAATATTAAGATATTAATTACTTTATATGTATCTTGCCCGTAAATTTCTTTCTTGTCAGAATGACTAAAAATAATGCCTTTTCAACTGAAAGAAATGTAGTAATTGAAAGAACAAGATATCTAATTACCTATCATTTATGCCTTTTTCATATTGATTGCTTTGTGTCTTCGAAATGTTTAGTATTTATTTGTTATTTCCTTTTATAACATCCGATCCTTGAACAATTACTATGCTCAATTGAAAGGAAAAGAGTATTACATTTTCTTAAGTCTCTCTTTGTTGTTATTTTCAGTGACAGTATTAAATGGTCACGAGTTTAAATGTAACAATGGAATTCATTTGTAACAAAAGCCTTAGATTTGTTTTGTCAAGAAAATTTCTATTATGTATTTCTCTATAAAATTTCTTGAGACGCACACACACATAACTCTGGAAAAACTCACAAAAAATGTTACTGAACCTTCTTATTTAAACGTTTCAATATTCATTTTAAATAAGATAACGACTTCAATAAAATTTTCCGAGCATGTTCACAGAAAGAAGAACGGATTCGGGTGTTGAAACAGAAGCTAGCGGAGCGTGAAGCGGCAGCGACGGATGGTGTGACGCAAGGTACGGGAGGTGGCGTGTTGGCTGATTTAGCGACTGCCACTTCTGACTATGGCACGTCAACAAACTACACTCGTTCTTCCCGCGCATCCGTATCAGATCTTGACTTTTCAGAGAGCTACCTTTAATCGCACTATTTTTTCCCCCTTATGAAAATAAACAATATTTTGTTTAGTACAATACAAGAGCGGCGTGTTTGACTGCCACATTTGACTTTGGCATGTCTATTTTTTGTCTGTAGGTTTATAGCTATTACAAAACTTAATTTTTCATTATTTTATAGCTATTACACACTAACTTAAGTGACATATTTTTAAATGTAAATCAGTAACTATACAATAAGATATTGATCTTAACAAAATCATTTTTTGATATGTTTTAATAATATTACGAACATAGAAACACTTTGACATCCGTGTTTTAAAGTTTTTGTCTCTAGTTATGGTTATTTTTCCCATTTTAAATCTTATAAAATGAATAAATATGATCTTTTCTTAAGTGACGGTTAGTTTTTTGTTTAAAAAAGAAAGTGTATTTATAAACGAAATTAACTTCGATGTGATACGCAGGGTGTCAGAGGCGGCAGTCAAACGATACAGTACATAATAAACCTACTTAACCTCTTGTCACAAAAAGAAATTACCACACGAATCCCTAAATCTCTATGCTCAACCGTGACCTTATCTAAATAAAAATATCAACTTTTTACACATCTACCCTTCCTACAAACGTCATTTATTGTACATTTCTATTTGACTACAGATAATAGTGCTCAAATGATAAAGGCTCTGAACTTGTATCATACTCCACTACTAAATCCTAACGAATTCGAAACTTTTTTATGACTAATATAAGTTCATTATATAACACATTTTACTCTGATAAACCTTAAATACATTAAACCTGTCGATATCTTACTTAATTTGACGTCATATGATAGTTATGTAAACATGTCTTCATATTCGCACTTTACTGATAAATTTACTACTATTGTCATAGTACTTACTACCAAAGTGTTAAAGTTCATTTTAATAATATTAAAACACTTACTTACTATTGATTGTAAAAATATATAGGTAATATCCGCTTTCTATCGTGACTGGCCTCGGACATGAAAATAATAGCTGATATGAAAGTTTTATAAAATTCAATTTAAATTCAAGTACCACTCAAATGCAATCGCTCTACCAATATACCTACCCATAATAGACTCGTATATTGTGAATAATTAATTTCTAATAGGTTCATACTAATTTTAAAAATATGCGAGCATTTACTTTTTATACGAATTTTACTTATCAAAGTGTTTGCAAAGCTTTAAAAACGTAAGACTATAATGGAACTTAATATTTGTCAGAAAAGGATGTATCCAATAGACAGTTATGTAGATTCATTTCAAGGAACATAAGCGTTTATGTCGGATAAAGTATGAACGAGTTAATTTAAATGTGTATATTAATAATGTTTGACTCAAACTATGATATAATACATTATAATGCATAGCGGCCCGTAAAACAATGTAGTAAATACAAAAACATTTTTAATTGCATTTTGATACCCACTATAAGGACTGACTAAACTATACTTAGTGAATCATTGAATATCGATAGTATCTGACAATGTTTTTTACAAAAATGAGTTAAATAAAATATTCGTAAAACCCATTCCGTTTTTCTAAAAATTGTCAGTTCACAGGTTTCATCAACAGGGGTGTGAAATATATATTTATCATAAAAAGGCATCTTACTTACTTACTCGTAGGTACTAACGAAAGGTATATATAAGATTCATTAAATATTAAAATATATTTGACATTTTCCCAAAAACTTTGAAAGGTTTTTCTGAGAACTTGATAAAGTTGTATCAATTATTATGTATTGTCGTGTCTTATACTAGTTGTTATTTAACGTAAAAATTCGCCTATAATTGAAAATCCTCAAACTGAGAAAGAAATGTCATGGACGTTCTATTGTATATAGCAAAGGTGGGTAATCTCTATATTCGAAGAAACATCTCGAGAGTACACATTTTTCTCATTTTTTTCTCTCTTTAGAACGGTACAGATAAAAGCGAAGAATTCTGGCTATTGAAAATTCTTGTTTAACAACTATTTCAATTTAAACTAATAAAGTAATACATTCATAAAAGATTGTGAGAAGATTTTTAGTAGAGAAATTACTTAAATGAAAGGTTTATTACATAATTGTTATAAAATTCAATTCTAAGTTAACTACGTAATTGTGTTAATATTATTCTGTATGTAGACAGTGAACTCAGAAAAGATATTTTTTAGTCTAAAACAGTAAAGAATAAAATAATCGTAATATAGATATGTAAATTCATTTAAATTTAAACACTTGGCAAATGTGACTATCTATTAAGGAAATGAACCATAAAAGAAATTAAATCATTCACTACATTTAGAACGAACTATCAATACATTGACGTCAAATTCTGTAACAGTACGACGGGTGATCTTTTTTGAAACCTTTTGTACCCTTGGATCGAACCTTGTGATCGTTTAACATGGCACATAATTGCATTTACATTATCAAATAGTTCCTACAATATTCAAAATAATTGACAATTATAATTAAAATTTCGAACTTTAGGTGTACCTAAGATAATACGACCTGAGGAAACTCGCTATTTTTTAAAATCCCGTCTGCTAATTTACCAACATGGAGACGTTTCACTTGGTGTCTTGTAGAGACCAGTAAGAACATGTTGTTTAAACTAGTGTTGGTAACTTTTTAATCGGAAGCAAGATTAACGATTTACAATTGATTAATTAACAAATAATAGACCGTTATTATGAAAGTTGACATTTTATTCTTAATAAAAAATACTCGTGTATAGGATTAGTTCGTGATTGGATAATGTTATTTTGTTAATATGTGTTGTACTTTTTTATTTTTTCAAATTATTTGTATTTAAATAATTAAACAGTACATAATACGATGGATGAACATATACCGAAATAAAAAAAAAACAGCAATAGTAATCTTTAGTTGCCGAAAGCAACTAAGGAAGGTTAATATTTTTTGTCAACATGTTGGCATATTAATTGATTAACGCCCAACAGTGCGTCTTCTTAGGTCGCATCATCTTATTCTAAAAATAATTTCAATTAAAATATAAGTAGTTTTTCTAATGGATATTGTAGTGATTTCAGTTCTCTCTTAACCTATTTTATATCACACAAAAATGTTGTTTACGCACACTGGTGTACTTTGTACTTACCTATAATTCCTTCTAGACTGATTTAGGGATATTTATTAGTGATACGAATTCTATTTCTACCTTTTCGATTATATGAAACTTAGCTATATCTTCAGTTAAATAAGATAGTTTAATAAATACGTATATCTACTACGGTCTAACATAAGATGTTACAATAAGTATACCCAACAACGATTGATCATAATAAACTACACAAGCGTCTTTGAAATGTCACCGTTTATATTTTATTCGCACGAAGTTAAATTAAATAGTTTTAAAAAGATAGTTTTTAAGCTCAAGTTGTCATTCGAAAATAATTTTATGAAAGTGTTGTTTTATGTAGAAATTTAATTCGTCCATTTGCCCTTTCCAGCAAATATATTGTAGTCGCATAGCAATTTATCATCAGAGATAGGAATACTTGTGCTATAACAGAGAAATTCACGGAGACTTCCTTAGGACAATATTTTTCTCCGGAACATCTGCCGCAAAATCTTTTCCATCATCAGCCCTTTTACGTCTCCACTGCAGGAGCTCAGGCCTTCCTTATGGATGGTGAAGGAGGATGGGTCATGACCCTCCACGCTGGCCCGATGCGGATTGGAGGGTATTAACGACTGCAAATGCAGCCGGGACCAACGGCTTAACGTGCCTTCCGAAGCACGGAGTAGCTCGAGAAACTAATTTATTGGTCACCCATCCCGTGACCGACCCTTGCGAAAGTTGCTCAACGACTAAGATCGTGGGCCGCGGCGCTTATCCACTACGCCACCAAACTACTCGTTCTTTTACAATAATATTAATAAGTGGATAGGTATTGGAAGTGTGTGGTCTCCACCTATAACTCCGGGAGAAAGGCATGATTAATGTGTATGTTTCTTTAACACTTTTTAACGTATTATTTCATATTATTTGGTAATTGTAACGACTATGTTATGTCTAATCACCAATTTTAGGTAAACAAAGACGAATTACATATTCTATTTTACATAATTTTTTAAACCATTAAGTGTTGTCACGAATTTTGGAGCAGATGTCCCGGAAAAGATATTGTCCTAGAGAGTCTCCGTTTCTTGTCTCTGTTCTTTCAAGTTAAGACTAATAAGCACTGCCTATTCCTTTCACTGTTTATCATATACCTATTAGCGTTAGAATTCATGCAGTCAAATCTCGTTATAACGCTGTATGCTTAATATATTTAAATCCATTTTTGGTTGTACACCAAATAATGAAGAGAAAAAGATCATTGTTTTCTTCACTTTGGAAGATACCAAAGTTGAAACGGGAATTAGGTCAGTGTCACTATGGAAACCTGTTAATGCAATGTAAGTAGTTTGAATAGTTGCCTTCCTCCCCGCCCCCGACCCCTGTAGTACTAATTGCCATCCTGTAAACCCAGTTTAAACCTAATAAATGTTTTAACAACAAACGGGAGTGCAGAGAAATTCGCATTTGCTTATTAGAAATCGTTATGCTGATAGTACAAATAAATGGTTGCAATCTCAATGTTTTTCTTTGAATATGACTACAGTACATTTGAACCGGTGTATTTTAGTATTAGAATTGTGCAAATAACAAAGCTAGATAAAATATTTTCTCCACTATTACACAAGTTTAATTTTGCACCGTTTATCAGCGTAACAATTTCAGAATATTGTAATGTAATTATTCTCTGTTCTTTATTGCATGATTCCCCAAAAGTTGCACATTCAACATCGGCCGTTAACACTTTAGGATAAATTTTGTATTGCAGAAGAAGTTTTAATATTTCACAATATCATATATATATCTAACATAAGAATAATACATTGGCGAGAGATTGTTATAAGCTGTTAAATATTTGAAGATGTAAAATAAGTTTCATTTACACTTTGTAATGAATTATCCATTAAAGCACAAAGCTTGACAACAAACAGCCACAATAAATTAAATAAATAAATAATACCGAGTTTATTTACAATTATAAACACACTAATATTACAAAATTGAGCCAGTGCAAAATTATGACTAAAGTTACACTCGATCTATATTCAGTATAATTAACTTTGCGAATCTTTAAAATAGGTATAATTCAAAACATTCAGTGCAACATTTCCTTCTAGCGAATGTCAATCTTATGCAAAACAACTAAAGTTTTCTTTCTTTTACTTTGTCCATAAAGGGAATTGGCATAGTTAATTAGCAAACTTTGTTTATATAGCAAACAGTGCAATGGCCTATAAAGTATTAATATCGATATCAGAAGAAATGTCGTATAAACTATTTTATGACGCATCTTTTATTAGAGACACAAGACTAGAAAGCCGAATTTCTACATTGTGATTCATGAAAATGGCTGCTGGCATACTGGTGAATAAATACTAAATTAAGACCAACTCGTGTCACTTGCCAAGAATAAATAAAAATGCCAAGTAACGAGATTTCCTTGCATGAATGTTGTTATTAAAGTATTCATTGCTTGTTTTCTTTTTTTATTGTATTTAATTGTGTTCCAATGCTAGCTTATTATGATATTAATATTATGGAAACTAAACGATGTTGAATGCCGTGTAAGCATTAAATGTATTAAAAAGCAATTTATAAATGGTCACTGCTTACTAAAGAATCGAACTTGGTCTCATTAGAAAATTACTTATGTGATTTTATTTTATTAAGCTTTTAAATATATTAACTATGAAAGTTATATTTTAAAGTCGTCAATTATATTTGATTGTATATTTGTCTCATATCTCAGTACCAGGAGACTTTTAAATAGTTGTCTAATTTTTTTATTATTGATGTATGTACTTTGAAATAAAAGGAAATTTCAATCTAATATAGCGTCGATTTTAAAGAAAGCACGTGAGGTATGGCAACATATATATATATATATATATATATATATATATATATATATATATATATATATATATATATATATATATATATATATAAATAGTCACTTGGTTAAAAAGAGGGAGAAGATCGCAATATACTATCTGGTTCTATCTACTTATGAGCGAATAAATAGATCCAGATAGTATATAATTAACGCGGAAAAGGAGAACATCACGAATTTCATTATTTTACTATCCAAAAGATATTTCCAGTTATAGCCGTATGTCTCATTACTCTGAAAACCAAGAACATGGTATCTCGATATTAAAGTCAGTATTCATAGCCTACTATACAAATACCCTAAACTATAGTGAGTTCCTCGGGTGGGCGGAAAAACCACGTAAGTAATACTGGTAGTTTTTACTATGTTTTGTTTTTTTATACCCCTCCTCTGTACAACTATAGGTTACACTACATGGTACTAAGTAGAGTAGAATAGCGATATCGACTTGTCGTTTTCCTTTCAAAGCTCGCAACGCAACGTCCATTTTGTCATCTGCCCTGGGAATAGAAATATTAAATGCTCGTAAACAACAAAAAAATAATCTCAAAATTTTTCAGTAAGCAGTTACCAAAACGTTGCTTTACTTTTAAAACTATACGGATATTTATTTGCTTCTATATTTTTACGTAGATTAACGCCCGTTTTCACTAACTGAAACCTGACGCGACTCCACTCAAATATGAAGCCTAAATATTTAAGAATCGCCTAAGATGAAAATGCTTTTCCATCTAATGATTAATGCAATGCCTAATGTTATGACATACATTTAGTGATGCTTTGTGCCTTCGCGCTTGTCATTCACATAATATGACAGATGTGTTGAGTAATAAAAAACAGTTTGTATATTTAGAATTAAACAAATACTCTGTGCTTTGTTTTAAGTTATTGGAAACGGGTGTCTCAAAAGTAAAAACTGCTTATGCTTAATTTTTTTTTATAACAAATGCTGTTGTTTACCAAACACTACCCGTATATCTGAGGTCTGTATTCTTTTAAGATTATTTTAATGTTCTTTTTCTCTCTCACAGATGTACAAGACGAACACATCTGATCGCCCGCAAGGGAATCTTCAATGTTTAATATAATATAGTTTACTATAGAACTCAGACGAATTGCTCTGGTAGGATTATTCCTTTGTAATTTATAAGAGAATAAAGTGTTCTTATATAGTTAGAAAAATCAAGTTAATGGGTTTAAAGAAATGCGAAAATTTAGCATCATTAGTAACACGTGTTTGTCCAGTAGAATCCTATTTAAAATTTATCAACTCTCAATCCGTCTCAATTCAAGACACGTATAAAACAATCTTTCCTTACACTAAATTAATCTTTCAAGATTGTTTTAATAGAATACCCACAGATATATTAACATTTGCTTAAAAATGTTCAATTAAGCAACGAGATACAAATAAAGGTTATGTGATTATCTTACATTATTCATATATTTTTAACGTTAATAATTATTCGATAATAATTTTAAAACAGAGTGTTATTTATTTAACACAATATTTACGAATTATGATGCACATTAAATATTGGGAAGATTGGGAAGCCGTCAAATTATATATGCTGTTATAAATATTTATCGTTAATTTATCCGTTTTACTTTTAGGAAATATAATATTTATATTTTAGTTATTACAAAATAAGTAAGACTAAATTTTTAGACAGAAGCGTCTAATCTTAAGTGGCTCAATTTCAGTGATATTGGATGCCAAAAGAAATGTAAATAGTTAAAGCAGATCTGAAATTTATATTTCATAGTTAAAACGATATCTTTACTAGTCAAAATACAAAATTCAGCATTTGTTACGGTTTTCAAAACTATCCGTTGTTTATAAATTATACAATATTCTATTTAAGTACAGATGTTACAGCACTGCCAATTATTATATTTAAGTAGAAAAAAATGTGTCTAAGGAGACGAATTTAGTGCTAGTCTATTAGATAGTATGATCATAGCTTTACTTTCACGTGATGTATCGCACTTCAATTACAGGTTTTCCGTTTATGAAATTATTAAGCTGGGTCTACACGATATCAAATTGTAACAAATATTTTATAGTATAATAAACCCGACCCCTTATATATGCGTCTATGCTCAATAAATGCCTACAAAAATACTAAATGTTGACTATATCTTAACAATATTTTCCATATACATATTTAGGATGACTTCAAAAATATTAAGTTCTTTCTACATATATATGGGATTGGGATTAAGATGCCATAATTTGTTGCATAAAAGTGCTTTTGATTAAAAAAAACGTAGTTTTAACGTAAATATTCAATTTGAAAAAAAATATTGTCCAAAATCTTTTGAATCGTTAAAAGTCAAAATAGCTTATGTTTTAAATAAATTCATATCGGTATAATTATATATCTAATTTTCGTTAGATGGTTTCATATCGTGTTAACATAACTAACAAGATAGCTGTCTCCGAATCTGTTTTGGCTTGAGTCCAAATTACTAATCAACTGTACATCTACAATAAAAAAAAGCATTCATCGTTACTATCTGATTTACCCCTAAATGTAAATAAACACACATTTTTGAGTGACTGAATCGTTAGAATCTAAATAATGATATCCAATCGAGCATGCTTACCTCAATATTTACTATCAACTTTTTATCACTTTACAATATAGACAACGTGTAGAAAAGTTCTGGAAAACATATCCTCTAAGAAATTTTGCGATTCACTTGTATGCATTCGGCCTTAGTCAAGATTTGACTGCATAGAATCAAACACATCACGATCACCATAATTGTTATACTAAGATGCGCTGATGACTGTTGCTTTTATTGATCTTTTAAAAAAGTTTATTTTATATAAACTTGTCAATTTTGAACTCGACGATAGTCAAATTGATTTTATGTAGATAGATATATGTATTGATCAATTAAAGCGGACAGTGTAAATAGCGCTCACGTTGTAAATATTGTTCCTTAAATTAATATGAGAAAAAAAAAATATAGAAAATCGTTGACATTCTAAAATTTTATTACATTTGGTGTTTAAAAAATTATACGTTTGTAATCATCTGTATAAATCAAGCTGATCTCATCGAGGGAACGATTTTGTTTCTATACTTTCATAGAATGTTGGT